CTTTCTCTCGAGATAGATGAAAGGGAGACCTAGAAGGGTCTGCTGAACAGGTGGAAGAGGGATTATATCTACTCTGATCACTAACAGCCTGCAAGAAGAATGAACCTTGGACCCTCTGGATGCCATGGAGCCACACCTCTTCTGGTTGCATCAGTTGCAGGTGAATGCTTCTACTGGAGGCTGAGAGGTCCAGCTTCCACCTCGGACAGGTAGAAACATGACTGGAACTGTGCACGTTTCACCTATCCCAGGGGTAGGCCACCTTGGCTCTTTTATGACTCATGGACTTCAACTCCCAGAATTCCTGAGCCAGCTGGCTCAGGAATTCTGGGAGTTGAAGTCCACGAGTCATAAAAGAGCCAAGGTGGCCTACCCCTGAACCCCAACCTGGGACCTTCCTAACATGCAATTCTCCTAATTCCAGAGTTTTGACAAATTAGAGGGAGGATTTATCCCATTCTTAGCAGAAAAGAAGGATTTTTCTGCTTGCAAACACTCTTCTTAACAGGGTGGGAGAAGCGCAGGCCGAAAAGTTCCATCCGTTCTTCCAAGCCCTGTTTTAATCATGGTTTGCTGCCTAAAACCACAACGGGCTGGACTTGAAGGCCGTAACAGTGCTACATTTTGGCTTTGTGTGATGTCTAAACCCGATCTGCATATCGCATCATCGCAAATTGCTCCTACCAAGAGTAAAAGTGGCCCTTCTTTATTGAGCAAATGTATTCATTTTAAAATCTTTATAAGCCCCCCCCCACACACACACACACCTCCAAAAGCTGGCATTAAGCTCTCAAGACATTCATGCCATTCTCAAGGGGGCAGCTACTTATTATGGGAGGAACCCATGCTTACTCTTTGTTCCCTGTGGACTTCCATTCAGTCAGTTTACGTCTCCTTGGTCACTCCTGGCATACACAGGCAGTTCTCAACTTACAACCATTTGTTTTGCGACTGTTTGAAGTTACAAACGCCCTGAAAAAAAAGTGACTTCTCGCCGTTTTTCACACGTATGACCACTGCAGCATTCAGCAATGAATGAATATGTGCAATAACTAAATTAACAAGATTGCGGATGGAGAGGAGAAGCTGCCTGACTCTTACTGGGTCACTGCAAGCTGGAAAAACCAACATGGCAAACTTCTCCGCCTCAAGATGACAGGTATTCTTACTCTCTAAGGAGGCTGGCTGGGGAACTCTGGGAGTTGAACTCCACAGGTCTTAAAGTTGCCAACGTTTGGACACCCCTGCTTTAAATAAAGACCCACAATTGCGGAAGGATTGCATGTACAGTAAGTAGATACAATCTCCAACCGACTTTTTTTTAAGCCTCAAGTTTGAAGGCTCCCTCCGTCGGCTGCTTCATCCGAGGGATTTATTAATTTCCTTGGTAAATAAAGGAGCAAATGAGTCAGAGTAAGACAGGCTTGCATCCAAGAAATCTCCTTCCCTCGCTTCTAAGACATTCTTATCTAACATGTGCCTGGGAAGCCCGCAACCGTATCTTAGCTGAGAGAGGTACCAGCATGTCATGGTTTCCCCGTGGAACATTTCTTGCCAACACTGAAACTTTAGTCAGAATTTGGTGTAGGAGGGTAAGGTGACTGAGCTGTGTTTGTGGAAATTCTCAAGGAGACACTAAGCTTTGAGGGTTTTTTTTAAAAAAAAAAATTAAACGTGCTTGTGGTTAATATGAACTTTCTGATTAGAGGTCACACAATGCAAATATAGTGCCTTGCCAAACATGGTATTCTGTTCACCCCGTCAATGCGGTTAAAAAGAAAAAAGAAAAAAAAACTTTGAGATTATGCAAAGCAGGAGAATGAAAATCGAGAAAGCATTATAGCATCTTTCTTCTAATGAAAAGCCTGAGCATCTGAATTTAGGAAGTAGATAAACTTCTCTGTCGGCCCGAGGTCATAACCCATGACCGTAGGTGGTCCTTGACTTACAACCATTTCTTTAGTGACTGTTCAAAGTTACAACACTGGAAAAAAAAGTGTCTTATGACCAGTGTCAGATACTTGGCAAACTGACTCACATTTATGACGATTCTGGGATCACGTGATCCCCTTTTGCAACCTTCTGGCAAACAAAGTCAATAGGGAAGGAAGATTCACTTAACAACTGTGTTACTCACTTAACAACCTCAATGATTCCCTTAACAGTTGTGGCAAGAAAGGCCATCAAATGGGGCAAAACTCATTTAACAACTGTCTCAATTTGGGCTCAATTGCTAGTCAAGGACTACCTGTATTTTATCTGTAATCCGAAGAACAAAAACACCTGGACTTTTTATTTGAATGTATGTTGTGACACTTACTCATAACAATACTTCTAGTGTTTGTGTGTGTGTGTTGCCTCAGATGATTCATATTCAAATGTGACATAAATTCAGACCCCAAAGGTTGTGCCAGAGCACTTTCTGAGTAATATGTGCTTTTGTTCTGCATGTAAATTTCTCTTACCGTATCTGTAGCAAAAAAAAATGCTGTCTGGGTTTTACTGGTGACTTCTTCACTTTCGTTCGCTCAGTCAATTTTCCCATTCTGTTTCTCCACCGTGTGACAATGTCCAACAGGCTGCCACCTGGAAGAAAGTGGTAGATTTTTATGCAGTCCATCTTGGGTTGGGAATAAATAGCTGGAGCCATTGATCTTATTAACCTCTAATGTGCCATTTTATTTGGGCAAATTCCAGGAGACAGTGGAAGAAGGGGGAAGGGGCTGGGGTCCTATGGTCCATGGGGTTGCAAAGAGTCAGACATGGCTTAGTTACTGAACAATAAGGGGTTAGTATGTTGTGTGAACTTATCTGCTGAGGTTCGTTCACCAGATTTAAGCGTGTGAAGCCAGTTAACTGGCTAGAACTTAGAACATAGACTCATAGGGCTGGAAGGGACCTTGGAGGTCTTCTAGTCCAACTCCCTACCCAAGGCAGGAGACCTATCCCAGTCAAATAGTTGTCCAGTCTATTTTTTAACACTTCCGGTGATGGAACACCCAAAACATCTGGAGGCAAGCTAGTCCATTGATTAATTGCTCTCACTGTCAGAAAATGTCTCCTTATTTCTAGAGATTGTATCTCTCTTTGACAAGCTTCCACCCATTACTTCTCGACCTGCCCTCTGGTACCCAGCCTAGAGAGTAAGTCAATCCCCTCATTTTGTGACAGCTCCTCAAGTACTAAACAAACCATGGTTTAGCATAATGTGTAAATGCAATCAGTTGCAGACTTAGTAGAGATTTTAGCAATAAAAAGCCCTTTGGGGCAGAAGTCTAGGGTCTCACTGAGGAGAATGTACAGTATACAAGTGATCCTCCATGTACCAGGAAGGTTTATTCCATAGTTATCATGTAAACCTGCAGGCTGGGAATTACAAGAGTTGAAATCAACTCATCTGAAGGGAATTAGAAACATGTTGCTTTTGTCAATAGACAAAAATAAAGCTCCGGGATTTTGATACATTGGGCATTAGGCTGTAACACACACAAATGTAAACAGGAGAATTTTAAACATAGTACTTAAATGTTACCTTCAAGTATGTTTATTACAATAACAATTCTTCAAACCTTCCTCTTAACTCCACAATTTACAGTGAAAATAGAGGAAAGAAGCAGGATCTGTTTAGTGTAAGGATTATGTCTGATACTAAATTGTAACATGGCCGTGCAAATAAGAGGGAGGAATTTTAACTGTACTTAGAAGCTGCCTTCAGGCATTTTATCATTGCAAATAATGTTTCAAGGCTTCCAATTAAATCCTGATTTAATTTACAATCAAAAGGGAAGCCGTAACTTTGAATCAAGAGAATTAAATCAAGCTTGACTCCTGGTGCACAAATTCTTGGAAGTGTCGGGATATTTGGCTTGAACAAATCGACACATCACTTAAATAAAACTGAATTGGTATCATGATCTTCAAGTGTGCTTAAATCCCTTTTTTTTACAGACGATGCCCAGTAAGGGTTGGGATGAAACTTCTTAAAGTTGGAAATGAAATACTTGGGAGGAGATACTGACTTTCTATGTTCTGGGTTAGTTGCACTATTTTGTTAATCCATGTTTGGATATGAGGTCAGACTTCAGCTTGTGAAGGTGGGGTTAAATTACCACCCCGAAAATGTGGATTTCACCAAAAACTCTGGGCTTATTCTGCAACTGAAAAGCATGTCTTATTCCAATAGAAAAACTCCGTTCCACCTTATTTTCAAATCCCCAACAGAGGACCTGGGTCAGCTCACACGCAAGCTGGCTTTCTGTCCACGTAATGGAAATTCCAATTAATATTTCTCCCTGGATTCAATATTCATTTTGCGCTGTAAGAACAGAGTTTTCAGTTTCATGGCTCACGGCCTTATTATTTGCCTCGCTCATTAGTTTTCCTTTTTTTCCCCGCCTCTTTTTTTTTCCAAGAAGGCTTCACCTTCTTCTCTTCCCATTTTATTTGTTGTGGTTATTATTAAAGCTGCTAAAAACTGAGGAGAAGAAGAAGAAAAAAAAGTCACCGGCTCCTCACTTCAAGGCCAGGTTTTTCCTGCAACGGCATGGAGGTGGTTGGCGTTGCTTTCTACTGCACCCTCCATCTTTTTTTTTTTTTTTAATAGAAGGCCGTTCTGGGCTCTCCTGGTGGTCTCCCATCCCTCGGCTCAGCCTCCAAGCCCAAACAAGACGCAATGCTGCACAGCAGGGCACCCAGGAGGCGGCTGCCGGGCGTCAGGGCCTCCAAAGTCGGGCGTATGAATCACTACAGCCCACTACAAGCGACTGGGAAGCGAGGGCGGCTTAGTTTGTGAGGCAGCCGTGAGGCCGCGGCCTTCTCCGCCCGTCAGGTTTCAGTGCAGGCCGCTCCCCTTAGCGACCATCCGAAGAGGCCTTAGCAACGCGGGCCGAGGCGGAGCTCCCGCGCGGAACTCTCGCCCCTCCTCTCGCGAGAGCAGAGCGAGCCAGGGCGCCAAGCGCGAAATTGCGGCTGCGCGGAGTTTCCGGAGGGAAAGAGAGAGAGAGAGAATGGAACGTTCGGCGGAGGCAGCGGCGACGACGGTGGCCGGGAGGAGCGCGAACTTACCTTGGTAGGGGGAGAGGAAAAAAAAAAAAGGAAAAGAACGGGCGGGGGAGAGGATGCTCCGTTGCTAGGAGACGGGCTGGGTTCCTCTAGTCTAGGTTTCTGCATTCCCTTCTAGGGGGCGGGGTTTAGCCCAGAGGTATGTCCAGGCATGCATTCTGCAAAGAATGTGCTCCTGAGCATGTGCAGAGCGTTGCTCTACCTTCCCGACTGGGGCTGGGGTGTTTCCTGCTATGCTTGCAAAAGCTGCCGGGGGTGGGGGGCTTGCAATAGGGCGCCTGATTGGGGGCAAAGGAGCCCCAGGAATTGTTCAGGGGGTGCATCACCCTTACCCCCCACCCTTAAAGGGGCATTTTGCACAGAGATGGAAGAGAATAGAACAAGACTAGAGTTGGAAGGGACCTTGGAGGTCCTCTAGTCCAACCCCCTGCTCAGGCAGGAAGCTATACCATTTCAGACAAGTGGTTGTCCAGTCTCTTCTTAAAAACCACCAGTGATGAAGCATCCATAGCTTACAACCGTGGCAGCATCCCCATGGTCACGTGATCAAAATCCAGATGCTTGGCCACTGACTCACATTTATGACGGTCGCAGTGTCCCTGGGGTCACGTGATCCTCTTTTGCGACCTTCTGACAAGCAAAATCAAGGGCGGGGGGAAGCTGGATCTGCTTAACAGCCGTGTTGCTAACTTCTCTGCACTCTTTCACTTGATCACTGTGGCAGGAAAGGTGGTAAAATGGGCTAAAATTCACTTAATAACTATCTCATTTAGCAACAGAAATTTTGGACTCAACTCGGGTCGTAAGTAGACCCATTGGAGCGAAGCAGAGCTGTGCGTTTTCTTGACCTCCTAACACTTTCTCTGCAGTCTTTTTGACGACTCCTTTCTCTTTCCTTAGCTCAGATCTTATAATAATAATGATAAAGTTGGAAGGGACCTCGGAGGTCATCTAGTTCAACCTCCTGCTCAGGCAGGAAACCCCATACCATTTCGGACAAACCAGTTGTTGGGAAAGACGGGTTCTCCGGTTGTGAAAATCTGCATTTTTATTTTGATTGACAGGGTAGAGAAGTACCGGCCTCAGACCCTCGGGGATCTGATATCTCACGAGGATATTCTGAATACCAGTAAGTATTCAATGGCTGGGCAAATATCTGAATGGATCTTTACCGACGTGCATCTCCCTCTCAGTTTTGAGTTCCCGGTGAAGGAGACTTCCGTTGCCATCCTTCCCAACCTGTATGGACTCTATAATAAAGGGTTGTTAATGATAATTAAATTAGCACTGAGTTGCTTTTATGACTCTTGCTTGTGGTTATTGTTATTGCCCCAGTTCTGAAAAAGTAAACTCCGTTTACAAAATAGGGTTTCTTTGTTTTTTTCAAAACGTTGTTTTTCCACATTTTCCAGCCCTGCCAAATAACCTCTTATATTTATTTATCGTCTAGGGGATGGCTCCCCCTATATTACTTCTCAGGTTTCTAAATTTCTTTTAAGAGCTGTAACTATTAGAGGAGGACGTTGTAATTCCCTTTAGCCAAGGCTTCTGGTGTTTAATTGTTTGTGATTATATTTTTCTTGTGTTTTTTTTTCTTTTTTGTTGCACTTGCATTTTGGTCTGTGACCGCAAAATAAAAATTATTATTATATTTATTTATTTCCTAATTCTTTCACAGACCTCACCAGATAGATCATCTCCTATATTCTATCAAATCCTTGCTGTTGTGCATCCCTAATGAAAAACCCTACTGCTCTATGCAATCACATGTAGATCCTAATTTGCATAAATCTATAAAGGCAGAATGTAACTCTTTCCCCCCCTCCCCACCCCCTCTTTGAGCCGGTCTGCTTCCAGGCCAATCAATAAACCAATCTGTATTGCTGTGTAATTACATCTTGGTCTCTGGTTCAAATGGGCCTCTGGGAAAATTCTCCTGCAAGTTGGTTGAAGGCAAGAAATTCAGTACAGATAGTTGAGTGGCATGGTGAAAAAGAGAGAGATCCAAGAGAGAAGCCCATCTTGAAAACAACCCCCATAGTAAAGCAGGAAGGTGCTGTATGCATAGGGGAAATCACATATTAGTATTATTATTATAGATTGTCGCACAATCCTCCCGATGTTTAGACTGGGTTGGGCATTTTTGTCCCCCTCGCAAGTACCTGGAATAAGCACATGTTGCTTGATGTTGATGGTGTTAAAGGTTGCATCGCAGGATGTCAGCCGTTCCAAGTCAAACTGCCTTTTGCAATTGACCGATGGGGATTCTGTCAATGTCGATGGCCTTCAAGTAGTGCTCCAGCACGTGCTCTTAAAATGCAAGCATCTATGAGGCACCCTAGAATTGGAGGAATACAAAAAAACCCAAAACCTTACAGGTAAAATAGAAGTGATTTGTAAGCCAAGCTAAAGGTTTATTGCTTGTCGCTTGGGGCAGTCATACAACGCCATCTCTGCTCTCTCTCTCTCAACCAGTACAGAAGTTTATCAGTGAGGACCGGCTGCCTCATCTCCTCCTTTATGGACCTCCAGGGACCGGCAAGACATCTACGATTCTCGCCTGCGCTAAACAGCTTTACAAAGCGAAAGAATTTGGCTCAATGGTTTTAGAGGTAACTGCTTCTGTTGTCTTAACTAGGCGTTGATCGCTTTTCCAGTGAGTGCAGCCCTCTCTAAGCGGTTTTACAGAATCAGCACATTGTCCCCAACAATCTGGGTCCTCATTTTACCGACCTCAGAAGGAGGGAAAGCTGAGTCAACTTTGAGCCGGTCAGGATCAAACTGCCGGCAGTCGGCAGAGTTAGCCTGCAATACTGCATTCTAACCACTACGTCACCACGGCTCTTACCGTATGTTCCTTTGTTTAGCTGAATGCTTCTGACGACCGAGGCATTGATACCGTCCGAGGGCCTATCCTGAACTTTGCCAGCACCAGAACCATCTTCAAGTAAGCACCTCTGAGACTTCTCTGAAAATTGAATTCCTTGGAAAAAGATAATTTTCTGGCCAGATGTATGTCTGTCTTATCTATTGTCTCCTACAACTAGATGGGTTTAATCAATAATCAAGGGATATACTGATGTCCACTGCATTTTAGAGTCCCCAGTTCTTGTTTCTCTGTTGTATTAGGAAAGGTTTTAAGCTGGTGATTCTGGATGAAGCCGACGCCATGACGCAGGATGCTCAGAATGCCCTCAGGCGTGGTGAGTTGATGCCCCATCCAGAAAGGGATGCTGGGAAGATCATCAGCACCCAGACACAATTCCAGTTGAGCTTCAATGGCAGCCATCTTGATCTGCTGTCCCAATAAAATTGCTGATTGTCTGTCTTCATTGTAGCCACGAATTTAGTTTTTCTCTGTTTCTACGGGGCATTGAAAAATGATTTTCTTTTTAGTTCAGAATTGTATTAATTTTAACAAAGCACAAAATACAAATGTACAAAAAAAGATGAAGATAAAATAGAATAGGAAAAAGGGGAAGAGAGTATAAAGTGTAGGGTAGAGGAGGAAAAGAAGTGGGGGGAAGCGTTGACTTCCAACTCACTTTGGTGCAGTAGAACAAGATAATAACATGAAGCGTTTTACTTTTATGTAATAGTATATACTAGCCGTTTCTGTAACACCAAACCTATCTAATCAGCAAAACCTAAAATCAAAGTTTCATTTTGGTCTCCCACAAGCAGAAAGTCCAGAAGAGGTTTCCGAGTGGAAGCAAAATGAATTGTGTTCTTTTCTTTCATCAAAGTGGCCAATTTAGCCATCTCTGCTAACTCCCATCAACGTTTGCAGCCAGCCAGTCGTCCGTTGTGGAGGCTATTGAAAAACAATTTTTATTTTCCCTTCCCTATTTTTCCTACTATTTGCTTTTGTCTTTTTTTTTTGTTATAACATAAACTAATAAAACTGTCTAAATTGAAAAAAAAAATGTTTTGGATAAGGCGGCCTCCAAAGGCGTGCCATATAAACGTTTGGTTTTTATATCTTTCTCAGTGATTGAGAAGTTCACCGAGAACACCCGATTTTGCTTGATCTGCAACTACCTTTCCAAAATAATCCCAGCTCTACAATCCAGATGCACCAGGTTCCGGTTTGGCCCTTTGACGCAGGAACTCATGATTCCTCGGTTGAAGCATGTTATTGAGAAGGAGAAGTGAGTAAAAAGTCTCGGGGACTGACAGCAGGAGTCAAGAGATCCGGCTGTTCCAATTTTCTGGCTTCCTAACCATGATTTCTCTGCAAAGTGTTGCATCTGCCCCATCAACTCATGGTTGGGAATATCAGTTAGCCTGCTCTGAAGAGAAGGACTAGGGGGTGACATGATAACAATCTTCCAATATATGAGGGGCTGCCACAGAGAAGAGGGGGTCAACCTATTCTCCAAAGGACCTGAAGGCAGAACAAGAAGCAACGGATGGAAATTAACCAAGAGAGAAGCAACCTAGAACTAAGGAGGAATTTCCTGACAGTGAGAACAATTAAGAGAAGGACTAGGAAGTGACATGATAGCAGTCTTCCAATATTTGAGGGGAAGTCACAGAGAAGTGGGGGTCAACCTATTCTCTAAAGCACCTGAGGGCAGGACAAGACGATGGAAGCTTATCAAGGAGACATCCAAACTAGAACTAAGGAGAAATTTCCTGACTGTGAGAAGAGTCAGGTTTTCATGGTTGTGTGACCTATTGTGTAGACTCACTGGGAGGGGGTGGTTTGCGGAAAACAGCAGGGTTCTTGGCGGCCTATCGAATTCCTCTTCTGCTCTTTCAGTGTTGATGTAAGTCATGATGGAATGAAAGCCTTGGTGACGCTGTCCAACGGCGATATGCGCCGATCTCTGAACATCTTGCAGGTATGGCGTCCATGCAGGTACGGCTTCCTCTTTCTCACCTGCGACTGATGTCAACGCTAACATTGCTTTGACAACAGTTAGAGATGCAACCATTTTCTTCTTGTGTTTTACTTTTAGAGTTAGATGATGCTATCTATCTCTATCTCTATCTATCTACCTATTATCCATATCTAAATCTATCATCTATCTACCTATTATCTATATATGTCTATCTATCTACCTATTATCCATATCTATATCTATCATCTACCTATTATCTATATCTATCTACCTACCTATTATCCATATCTATATCTATCATCTACCTATTATCTATATCTATCTATCTACCTACCTATTATCCATATCTATATCTATCATCTGTCTGTCTATTCATCTATCATCTATATCTGTCCGTCCGTCCATCCATCCATCCATCCTTCTGACCCTCTTAAACCAGCAACTGGATTTCGCTAGGTAAACAGCCTTCCTTGCGCAAGCAAAACTCTGGTTTCTCATCTCTTCCTTCCTCCTTGCAGAGCACCTACATGGCTTTTGGGAAAGTGACCGAAGAGACCGTTTACACCTGCACGGGGCAGCCTCTCAAATCCGATATCGCCAACATCCTGGACTGGATGCTGAATCTGGATTTCACTTCTGCCTACCGCAGTATCCTTCAAACGTGAATCAATGTGCAGTTGGCTTAATGGGATGGGATGGGACAGGTCAGGATAAAGGTAAAAGGACTTTGGGGTGCCGGTGTGTTGTTGTTTTTTTATTTTGCCAAAGAATTTACTCCAGGAAGGCTGGATGAGACAGAAATTGTATGGCAGCATTTTGCCAATCACTTCTAGTGCAGATGCATATAATATCCTTCAAAGAGGAATCAATGTGCAGGTGGCTTACTGGGATGGGATAGGATTTTAGAAAGAAGAGCAAAAGGATGTAATTTAGAAAGAGAGGTCAAATATATTTGTATTAACAGACTGGACAACCATTTTGTCTAGGATGGTATATGGTCTCCTGCCTTGAGCAGAGGGTTAGACTAGAAGACCTCTGAGGTCCCCTCCAGCCTTATGATTCTATGTTCTGTAACCGCTGGGAAGAATATCGGAAGCCCCTTAATATTTTTTACTTGCCATCTTTTTCCCCTTTTTTTCTACTTTCTTTTTTTAATTGCACTTTTAGCTTTTTCTTTGATTTTTTTCCCTCCTCTTTTCCTTTCCTCTGTTCCATTTTAGCTTCTGTTGGGTCTTATCGCTGCTAGACCTTTCTATTAAAAAAAGTCATGGCTCTCCTTGACGTTTTGTTCAGATATCTTGGAACTGAAAACCCTGAAAGGCTTGGCTTTGCAAGACATTTTAACAGAAATTCATTTGTTTGTTCATCGAGGTAAAAGGACTTTGGGGGAGCTAGTGTGTCGGGTTTTTTTTTTATTTTGCCAAAATTTTTAACTCCAGGAAGGCTGGAGAAGAGAGAAATTTTATGGCATCATTTTGCCAACCTCTTCTGGTGCAGATGCATAGAATATCCCAGCTTGCAGAAATTATAACTGAATGTCTGTGTGTGTGTGCATGTGTGTGTGTGTTTGTGTCGGTAAAACGAGGACCCAGATTGTTGGGGAAATATGCTGACTCTTTCAACCTCCCAGAGAGTTTTGTAAAGCACTATAAAACGGTATATAAGTCTAAAAGCTATTGCTATTTAAGGTACAAAGAAGGGCAATCATTTTTGTAAAATGCGGTCTGTGCTCTCTCATTGTCCTACAGTTGATTTCCCAACATCTGTTCGGATCCAGCTGCTGATCAAGATGGCAGATGTGGAGTGAGTATTCTTTAGTGCATTTTCCCCCCCACACACATATTTAGGACCAATGTAGACAGAGGCTAAGATCTTATTGTGCATTGACTTCCAATCTCTAGTATAAAAAAAAAAAAAGCACACCTGTAATTTTACCTATGGAGCGGTTTGCACAATTTGGGAAAATGAAAGAGAACTAGGGAAGCCTCTGATTCAGTCTAAGGTTTCTCTGTGCACTGTGATTGAGGCTAGGGAATTCTGGGAGTTGAAGTCCACGAACCTTACAGTTGCCAAGGTTCGTTCAGCCTGCACTGTGAGATCTAGAAGCTTGCTTCCTGACACAAAGCTGAATTTTCCTTATCTAGGAAGCGCAGAGAACCAGCATCACGGAACTGTACAGGATCAAAGCTTGCTGTGTGGTTCGCCTTAACGCATTTTCACGCCAACTTGAAGATTCTTTAACACTGTAGGATATTTCTTTTTACAGGCTAAATATGTTACTTTTGTCCTGCTTAAGATGGATCATCTCCTGTTCCACTGTCTTTCAGACACCGCCTGGCTGCGGGGACAAATGAGAAGATCCAACTGGGGTCTCTTGTAGCTGCCTTCCAAGTGACCAGAGATCTGATTGCAGCCGAGGCTTGACCAAGCTACTCTTCCCACTGCTTGATCTACAACCTGGGTACCTAATGGTTCTCCTTAACAACTCATCTGAACCATTCCTGTGGTTCTGAATATCCTACAGCATGATGTTCTCAGGATCTTTCAGAAGAACTTAATCCTCTCTAACCAATCTGGACAGAATCAATGCCGGTCTAGATAAACGAGAAATGTTCTTCAAGACGCCACAGAAGGACTGTTCTCTTTTATTATGTCTCCAGAATCGCATAATTGGTTCACAACGTCTCAATAGATTCACCTCATTCGATTAAGCTGCACCCCGATCCCCCACCAATCTCGTTTAAAATAAATCCACTTATATGAAAGTATTTACGCACAATCGTAGAGTTGTAAGAGACCTCAGAGGTCATTTAGTCCAACTGCTGCTGAATTCTGTTTAAAGACATCAAGGGATTAGGAGTTGGGCTATTCCACTGGCTGACAGCTCTCATTATAAGGAAATTCCTAAAATCTGCCTCCAGGCAAGATATGGGTCCTCTCTCCCACCATCTGATAGAGGATTCAGATCTCGATCAGGCTAATTTACACCAGCTGAGCAGAAAAAAAATGTCTCTTTTTGATTTCCCTCTGCCCTAAAATTCTTCGCATCCTGTCTGCAATTTCACAAGCTGGCCACTTATTAAAACTCTTTAACGGTGCAATTTGCACATTTCCTCCATCTAGGGAATTCCTGGGTCCTCCGAAACATCACCCACACTTCTGTGTTTCTGTTCCTAACACAAGGAATCTCCCATTGCTCATCAATCATTGCTCTCTGATCAGCCGGGGGGAGGGGGGAGACCCCAAATTGCTCTGAAATCGTTAATCCTAAAATGTACCTCTTGCTTAGTTATTGACAAAGCGTTTCCCCATTCAAGCCAGCAAAAAAAAAGCAGAGCTTTTTGATTTCCACGGCATGAGCTTAAAAGCTTTATCCAGCAGCGTATTGATGCGGGAAAGATTTCCAATTCCACCTTTGCATTAATGGAGAAGACCCAAACCTGGTTTTTCCTAGACGATGGACAAACAGGAACCAAAAGCACTCCGGAATGACCCCCCAAAAAGTGACTAAATAATGACACTCATTGTTTCCTTCTGTGTCCTGAGGTGCTTTTTTTTTTAAATTATTTTTTAAACGTCCGAGAGGAAGCTGTGGGTGTCAAGCCCGCATCCCAGTAAATCTAAGTCTGGGAAAAGGTAACTGGCCAACTTTAGTATGCCCAAAAACTCTATATATAAATTAATTTCTTCCAGGCAGCTAGTGCAGAAAAAGAGTTTGCCAGCAGCATCCTTTGTCCTTTTCTCAGCTAGGAAATTACATTTCATCGCTTCACCTCCCAAAGAGTAAGTTTTTTTGTCTTGCGTGTGCGCAACACCAGGCCGTGCGAGAAACGGACGGAGCGGAGCAGCGTCTCCGTTGAGCCAACATCATAAAGTCTTGTAGGTGAGGAACTCCTTCATCTTCTTGGGAATGCTCAGTGCCTGAACTTGGTAGCTTGTGAAGCAGCCGCGGAGGACTTTCCGACATAAGTGCTTCAGAGAAGAGAGAGCGTGTGGAGCTGTCCAAAATTGGGCGTGACCGTCTCTTGTCCTGCAAGAGGAAGAGACAGAAACTTGAGTTCATTCATTAGTCGACGCAGCAGGGGGGGCAGCACAAGGCAAAGTCTCAAAACAAAATTAAGCTGAGATGGACTTGATTAAGGTTGGAACAAGGGTCAACAAGTCCAGGATATCAGTAGAAGAGGCTCTTTGTAGCTCAGGGTTGAACTGGGGGGTCCTTGGGGCTCTCTGAGTTAGGTGGTTTTCTTGCAGACGTTTCATTGCCCAACTAAGTAACATCATCAATGCTAGAAGGGAGTGGAATTTATGGAGGAGGACTATAATAATAATAATGATGATGATGATAATGATAAAGTTGGAAGGGACCTTGGAGGTCATCTAGTCCAACCCCCTGCTCAGGCAGGAAACCCTATACCATTTCAGACAAATGGCTGTCCAGTCTCTTCTTAAAAACGTCCAGTGTTGGGGCATTCACCGCTTCTGGAGGCAGGTTGTTCCACTGGTTAATTGCTCTAACTGTCAGGAAGTTTCTCCTTAGTTCTAGGTTGCTTCTCTCCTTGGTTAGTTTCCACCCGTTGCTCCTTGTCCTGCCTTCAGGTGCTTTGGAGAATAGCTTGACTCCCTCTTCTTTGGGGCAGCCCCTGAGATATTGGAAGACTGCTATCATGTCCCCCCTTGTCCTTCTCTTTGTTAAACTGGACCTACCCAATTCCAGCAACCGTTCCTTATATGTTTTAGCCTCCAATCCCCTAGACTGGACAAGGAAGTCCAGTTGCCTCATGAAAAAGTATCTTTGGGACTCTTCCCAGGATCGTGCAGGCTAACTCTACACTCAAGACAACTCCAAGACACAATTGGTTCAAGCAGCTACTGGCAGGTGGGTGGTTCATGAACATCCCTGCATACTCCATGCAGCTTTTCTTCCAAGATTCTTAGATCTCCTTCCCCCCCCTCCTTTGAGACAAACTCCATACGGTTCTCACCCCAAACCTACCCTGTTGCGATGATCCCACCATGTGGAAAATAAGTGCAGCAGAGGCCATTCTTCACAGGAGCAAAGGCCACAGGACTCTCAAGCTCTAATGCCCAGATCCGGAGGAGCCTGAAGGAGATAATCAAAAAAACGTTCTTGTGTTCCAAAATTGAGCCCAAGAACCTAACTAAATAAATCCAGTCTTCTTAAGCCTGTTTTGGATCCCCAGGTCCCATCCTTCCTAGCAGTGTGTGGCCTGATGGGACCTGTAGGCCAAACCATCTGGAGAACATCAGTTGACCCAAATGTTGGCCAAAGAACTCCCAGAAGGCTTGACAGCAGTTTATTATTATTATTATTATTGTTGCTGTTGTTGTTGTAATTTTTTAATTAATTTTTTCCATACAGTTCTATAGTACTTATTCAACAACGTGTTTATCTGAGTTTATCATTCACTAACACAAATTTAATTCCCATCCTTTATTTTTTTCTCCAACCATTGATAAAACAAGTCCCAAGTCTGATCGTATTCTGTTTCTTCTTTTTCTTTCGACCTCATAGTAAGTCTGTCCATTTCTGCACAATCTTAATTTTTTTTTATTATTATTTCTTCCTCTGGTGGTTAATTCTTCCTTTTTCCGATATTGTGCAAATATGATTCTTGCCGCTGTTATCGCATGTAAAATCAGATATAGATATACTTCGTTTTCTGGCATAATACCGAATAAAAAATGGGACCTACAGGGCCAAACCATTTGGAGAACATCAGCTGACCCAAATGTTGGCCAATGCTTGACGGCAGTTGAATTGAGATCTCCAAGAGAACCTTCTTGGTTTTGGACCCCACTGCTTTCATCTTTGTTAAAAATTACATCACCACCTGTACTTCCTGTATCCCCCCTACTATAGACACAGTATCTGGGATGGGACCCATAACAATGTAAGCATTTTCTGTTGCACTTTGGAGCCTCTTACCTATCGTCTGCCACTGTGGCAAGGTAGAGGCCCTCAGATGAGAAGCACACGGACCTCAGGGAGCTGGTGTGGAAGTTCCCACCCTGGTCCACTGCAGGTTGCAACGGATGGTGCCTGGGAAGAAGGACAAGCAGGTTGGAATCTTCCTACTAGCCCACCTGGTGACTATCAGCTGCTGATGAAATAAAAAAAGCCGTGAACACGCCCAGCTCAGCCCCTTGCTAAAGCTATCTAAACATGCCCATCATGACTTTTGGCAGGAGACCAACAGTTCTCCATCTCCCAGCGGTTTGTAACTTTTGAGTCCTCCTAGCTACCCTGTTGTGGTCTGTGGGAATGACCGTGAAAGAGAAGAGGAAAGAGCCATAAGCCAGTGGAACCAACAGATAAGAGTCTGTGGAGCTCCTCAGTCTTCCAGGTCAGGGTTGTCCCAAAGGTGCTTTTTTTAAGAGGCAACTGGACTTCCTTGTTTTTCTTTGAAGACATTTTCCATCTCTTCCAGGAAGCTTCTTCAGTTCCCAAAGGCAAGTGGACTTCCTTGTTTTTCCTTGAAGACGTTTCGCTTCTCACCCAAGAAGCTTCTTCCGCTCCGACTGGATGGACTCCTTGCAGACAGCTGGTCATTTGCATCCTTTTGGAGAGTTGTTGAAGCCACTTGGAGGTTTATCTGTGTCCTCAGGGTCACCTGAGTGGTGCAAATGGGTGTGGAGCCTTCTTGGCTGCAGGATGTTTTCTGCCCTGGGTCTCTTCACTGTTGAAGTCTGGCTGTTGGTGACCCTAAAGACACTTGAAAACCTCCAGGTGGCATCAGCGACTCTCCAAAAGGATGCAAATGACCAGCTGTCTGCAAGGAGTATAAATCCTTCCCTTCCCCACCATCCAGTCAGAGCTGAAGAAGCTTCTTGGATGAGAAGTGAAACGTCTTCAAAGAAAAGCATGGAAGTCCAGTTGCCTCCTGAAAAAGCCCCTTTGGGACAACAGATAAGAGGCAGCCTAGCCTGCAGCAGGAATACGGGCATGGCAAACAACTTAGTTTGTTTGGGATGTAAAGGGGACAGGAGAGAACTGTACAGTTAGTCCATTTAGTTAGTCCATTTAGTGACTGTTTGAAGTTACAGCGGCACTGAAAAAAGTGACTTAGGACCATTTTTCAGACTTACGACCGTTGCAGCATCCCCACGATCAGGTGATTTATGTTCAGATGCTTGACAACGGACTCGTGTTTATGACGGTGGCAGTGTCCAGGGGGTGTGTGTGTCATGTGATTTCCCCTTTTGCAACTTCCTGACAAGCAAAGCCAAGGAGAAATCCAGATTGACTTCACAACCGTGTTACTAACTTAACTGGCTGCGGTGACTCGGTTAACAAATGTGACCAAAAAAAAGTCGTAAAATGGGGCAAAGCTCACTTAACCATTTTCTCAGTCAGCAACATCCGTTTTTGGGCTCAAGGTTGGTCGTTAAGACAAGGGTGACCTGTACTTTGAGACTCTGCCAGATTCTGCAAATGTAATCTTACACTAAGGTGCAATTAATTCCTCCGGGCATGCTGCTCCCTGTCTACACTCCCTCCTCACGAGGCATCCCTCCGTCCACCTTCCTTACCAAAGGGATCTTAGCTTCTCCCCCGTGCAGGGATCCCAAAGGATCACACAGGTGTCGTAAGAGGCCGTGGCGAGAAGAGCCGAATCTGGAGAAAAGTCACAAGACGCAACGCAACTTTGGTGACCTTCTAGTTTCCGCAGCAGGCGATAGGAGCGCATACTCCAGAGGAGAGCCTGATAGGGTGAAAAAACGACAGAAATAAGGATCGACCTGCCTCCAGAAGCGGTGAATGCTCCAACGCTGGAAGTTTTCCAGAAGAGACTGGACAGCCATTTGTCTGAAATGGTGTAGGGTTTCCTGCCTGAGCAGGGGGTTGGACTAGATGACCTCCAAGGTCCCTTCCAACTCTGTTATTCTATTATTCTGTTAACCTATTCTCCAAAGCACCAGAAGGCAGAACAAGAAACAACAGATGGAAATTAATCAAGGAGAGAACTAAGGAGAAACTTCCTGACACTTAGAACAATTAACCAGTGGAACAACCTGCCTCCAGAAGTTGTGAGTGCTCCAACACTGGAAGTCTTTAAGAAGAGACTGGACAGGCATTTGTCTGAAATGCTAGAGGGTTTCCTGCCTAAGCGGGGGGTTGGACTAGAAGACCTACAAGGTCCCTTCCAACTTTATTATTATTATTATTATTATTATTATTATTATTATTATTATTATTATTATTATTATTATTATTATTATTATTATTATTATTATTATTATTATTATGGATCATCGCACAGTCAGCCAGATGTTCAGACTACTACTACTACTACTTCTCCTTCTCCTTTCTTCTTCTTCTTCTTCCTCTTCCTCTTCTTCTATTATTATTATTATTATTATTATTATTATTATTATTATTATTATTATTATTCCTTCTTCTTCTTCTTCTTCTTCTTCTTCTTATTATTATTATTATTATTATTATTTCTTCTTCTTCTTCTTCTTCTTATTATTATTATTATTATTATTATTATTATTATTATTATTATTATGGATCATCGCAGTCAGCCAGATGTTCAGACAACGACTACTACTACTACTACTACTACTACTATTTATTATTATTATTATTATTATTATTATTATTATTATTATTATTATTATTATTATTATTATTCATTATTATTATTCATTATTATTATTCCTTATTATTATTCCTTATTATTATTATTATTATTATTATTATTATTATTATTATTATTATTATTATTATCTTTTATTCATTAAACATGAACCTCAGTCAATTATTATTATTATTATCACCAAAGATCTATAGTACCAACCTCATTTCTCACTGACAAACCACAGGACCCTTTCTGTGTAGGCTTAAACTCACCGATTTCTCTCCAGCCACGGAGCAGAGCATCTGACCGTCGGGAGAAACGGAGCAACTGTAAACCCACTGCGAATGTCCAGAAAGCACTTTCAATTGTTTCACTAGGGAAAAAAAAATAGGAAAGAGGGAGGGGAAAGGGGGGGAGGATTAGAGAAGCCAATAGGAAATTTCAATGCCAGGGGGTCCCTTCTCCTAACAATGTCCAGCTAGCAGGGCCAACAAGCAGGGCCTTCTACGGTATGTTTCAGGGTAAAAATATATAGAAAAATCCCATTGGAGGGGGGGGGGCAAATCCATTTAGGATTAGGGTTAGGTCTCCATGAATTCGGAGAGCAAAATGGACACCGTCAATGGATTCATAGCACATCAGTATTCTTGGGAGCACACTGACTTTTTGATCTCTCTACAATACGTTTCCTGGTAAAACATACGGGGAAATCCACTTGATTCCCTGGTGGGTCCCTCCCTTTACAGTTAACAGCAATAGAGTTGGGCGGGACCTTCAAGATCATCTAGTCCAACCCCTTGCTCTCTCACTCATGAGCGAACAACGGTTAAACCTTGGGGGAACCCTAAGGTTTCATGGCACCTACAGAGTCTCTGCCACTGAAAATCGGGGGGGGGGGGGAATCTTTTTCCCATCTCATTTTGGTGGTAACCAATCCGGAAACTATGTAAAGCTTTCTCAAAAGAAAAGAATAATGATTTCTTTAAAGAAAAGGATATATTACAGTAAACCTCAGACAATAAACCTTTGGAACCCTATCCCTGCAGGGATGGGTTTTGGCTCAAAGTTTGACGTTCTTTTGCAATCATTCTGCGAGGAGGGCTCTAGACGGGACTCCTGTTGTTGCAAAGTTCGTTGGCTTCAGAGAAAAACTGGTCCCCAAGTCGTCCAGGATAGCTTCTGGCTGGCTGAGACCAGACTGGGCTTCTTACAATGCTGGAGTACCACTTTTAATGCCACAAGGGAAAGTTGTCTGACTGACCAGCAACTTCCGCAGCTCACGCTTACCATTTTGACCCAGGTCCCAAACTCGAAGTGTTTTGTCCCGGGATGCGGAGACGAGAATGGAAGAGGGGTGGCCGGGCGCAAAGCTCAGATCCCTCACCACGTCTTGGTGCCCCACGAGGTTAAAAAGCAGGGTCCCTGTCAAGAAGGGGGGAGAGCGGGCAAAAGGAAAATGAAATGGGTGTGAGGAGCAAGCAAGTTTCGGATTTGCAGGAGTCTTAAATGACGCGAGAAGCATCCATCATTTTTCCCTCGGATTGCTTTGGCAAACGAGAGAGGTGGGTTTTCACAAGGGGTCTGGAAATTCTCTGTTAAGCTTATAAATCTAAATTCAGCTCACCGGTCAAGCTGTTTACTAAACCCAAGGAGGATGTTGTCATTTTTATCTATTTCAATTCTTGCTCATTGGATCTGTCTCTTTGCTTGCCTGCCAGCCTGCCTATCCATCCATCCATCCATCCATCCATCCATCCATCCATCATCTTATCTATCAGTCATCTCGTCTATCTATCCATCTATCGATCAATCTCTATCATCTATTGTCTATCTCTCTATATATCATCTCTTTCTATCCTATCTACCTGCCTACCTACCTATAGATCTATCTATATCTATCAATCATCTAGTCTGTCTGTCTGTCTATCTACATATATCATTGCTAACATCTAACATCCATTCATAATCTGTATTTATGTATATATGCTATCTGTCTCTGTTTCTCTCTCTGTCTCTGTCTCTCTCTCTCTCTCTCTCTCTCTCCCTCTCCCCCTTGTGTCAAAGACTAGGTGTAGTAAGGCAGGATGAAGGAAGCTTCACACATGTGCCTATGTATGTAAGCAAATTTGCAAAGATTGCCTTCTGTTTCAGGAAATGAAGCCCATTTACCTGTTTCCACTTCCCAGACTTTAATCTGCCCATCGTTTAATCCCGTGGCCAGGATCAAGCAAGGAGAACTTTCCTTCCGGTGGCGATACTTGTGTGGTTGGGAGGGCAGCCAGGAACCGAAAGCCAGACCCCAGACGATCTGTCCACATTCCAATGTCTTCTCCTTGAGCCCACCGTAACCTTTCGGCTTGGTTTTCCCACCCTGGTTCTTGCGTTCCAAAGCTTTGCTGTTACTGCGGTGGAGCAGAACAAAGAAGATCAAAACAGATCGCTAAGGGAGAAATGATCCTTAAAGTTGCTGGACAGCCATTGGTCTGAAAGGGTGTTAAGATTTCCTGCCTGAGCAGGGGGTTGGACTAGAAGACCTCCAAGGTCCCTTCCCCAACTCTGTTATTCTGAATATCAGGAGTCCAAAGCACTTGGCAGTCCAAAGCAGCCTTGGAAGAGGCAGCAGCACACACACACCCGCACACACCCACACACACCCGTGTGAATACTCACTGCTCAGTCCCCTGTAAAGGCCAAGGGAGCAGCCTGACCATGCCATGGCCCTGTGACCAGGCAAACCAGGTCCCGTCGGGGGAGAAGGCCACACCCCAGGTCTCGCAGCTGGATTTCCAGTCATACTGTTGGGATTGTCCCGGCTTCAGCTCAGCCACGAGGAGGGGGTCTCCTGGGAAGAGGATAGGAAGGGAGGGAGGGAGGGAGAGTGGGTTTAGTGGCTTAAAGCACCAGGCTACAAACTGGGAGAGTAGGAGTTCTAGTCCCACCTTAGGTGAAGGGAGGGAGGGACGGAGGGATGGAGGAAGGAAAGAAGGAAGGAAGGAAGGAAGGAAGGAAGGGAAAGAAGGAAGGAAGGAAGGAAGGAAGGAAGGAAGGAAGGAAAGAAGGAAGGAAGGAAGGAAGGAAGGAAGGAAGGAAGGAGAGGGAGGGAGGGAGGAAGGAAGGAAGGAAGGAAGGAAGGAAGGAAGGAGAGGGAGGGAGGGAGGGAGGGAGGAAGGAAGGAAGGAAGGAAGGAAGGGTTTAGTAACTTAAAGCGCCAGGCTACAAACTGGGAGACCAGGAGTTCTAGTCCCACCTTAGGTGGAGGGAGGGAGGAAGGGAGGAAGGGTTTAGTAACTTAAAGCACCAGGCTACAAACTGGGAGACCCCGAGTTCTAGTCCCACCTTAGGCACAAATTCAGCCAGGGGACTTTGGGCCACTCAGTTCCCTTCTCTCAGCCTTGGGAAGAAGCAGGTGAGGGCAAACAAAGCCCAGCCAAAATCTTGCCAAGAAAACTGCGGACATTTATCCAGGCAGTTGCTACTGACTCCAAGCCACACACACACACACACACACAAAGGAAAAAAAAATAAAAAAATAAGGGGAGGAGGGAGGGGAGGGACCCAAGGATCCCTTTAAGGGTTCCCTGCAGGAGGAGACCCCTGTTTTGTCTACGGGGGGAGGAAGCCTCTCCCAGGTGCCCGAGCCCCCCTTGCCCGATTCAACCAGGGGATGGAAGGCAGAGGCGCTGCGCTGCGCTCCAGCGACCAGACTCCCGGTTCGTTTCAAGGGCCTGGGGGGGGGGGAAACGCCGGGATTTGCCCCTCGCCAAGCCCGGCTCGGCCTCCCCGGACGCGCAGGGCGAAGGGGACCGCCGCGCCCTCCACTCACCCTCCGTCACCGCCTCTCCTGCCGGCAGCGGCCGCGGCCGGCAGCGCTCGCCCGGGGCCGCTTCCATCCGGGGCCGCTTCCTCTTCCCGAGCCCGTCCCTTGTCCGGGAGGAGCCAGATGACGGACTCGGTGCGGAGGGGAAGCCGACGAGGGCGGGCTCGGGATCCGAGTCCGAGCCGGCGGCGCGCAGCCGAGAGACGGGGCGGAGAAGAAGCGGAGGAGCGCTCCGCCCCTGCGCCACTTTTGCGCCCTGGGCGCACGGCTGGTTGCGAAGGGGAGGCGTGGCGGGGCTGCAACCGGTTTACTCGGAGGAGAGTTGCGTGGGCCTGGCTCGCCTGCCGGGGCGGCCCTTGGCTGCTTTCCCCCAAGCTGGCTGCAGCTCCCATCATCCACAGCCAAGTGGCCTTTTTGGGGAGGTGGCCTGGTCCGTCCAGCTGGGGAAAGGCCGGAGTGGAGTCCTTGGCGCACTCTAAGCTTGGGGGTTTGCTTGCACATCGGCCCAATATCTCAGGGGCTGCCCCAAAGAAGAGGGAGTCAAGCTGTTCTCCAAAACGCCTGAAGGCAGGACGAGAAGCAACAGATGGAAGCTAACCAAGGAGAGAAGCAACCTGGAACTAAGGAGGAATTTTCTGACGGTGAGAAGAATTAGTCAGTGGAACGACTTGCCACCAGAAGTTGTGGGCGCTCCATCACTGGAGGTTTTTAAGAAGAGACTGGGCAGTCACTTGTCTGAAATGGTATATATAGGGTCTCCCGCTCAAGCAGGGGGCTGGACTAGGAGACCTCCAAGGTCCCTTCCAGCTTCATTCTGATTCTTTACACAACCGAGTGAGTCCATCAGAGACCTATGAAATTCGCACTCAGGATATGACTCGTGGGAAATAAAAACCTCTATATGGCTGTGTGCTTGGTTCTACGTGTTATCTAATTTTGTTAATTTTCATGTTTTCACATTAGTGTTTTTTTTCTTGTACTGTAAGAGGGTCAGTTTCAGCTTTGGAGAGTAAGATGGATGGCGTATAATTTTGATTAATAAATAAAATGCCTGCAAAAAAAAAAACCCCACCAAGCTCAGAGCTTCTGTTCTGGCAGTCCTCAATTCACTTAACAACCGGGTTACTAACTTATCAGCTGCGATGATTCACTTAACAACTGTGGCAAGAAAAGTCGTAAAGTGGGGCAAAACTCAACTTAAAGACAGCAAACAAGAATAGCTCCAGTTCTTAAAAGGTGTGAAATGAATACAAAACCTCTCATGATTCAGCTAATAACGCCCACATACCAAACACACATGCACACACCCTATAGGCAAGTCACCTTTGTATCCAAAAGCCACACTTTTATTCCATAAACAAAAGATCACACCCAGATTCACAAGGGCCAGAAGAATGTTGGCCTCTGATTGCTACCAGCCTCAAAAGGAAATAATTATTTCTTTGCAACACGCAAGAAAAGATGTCAGCTGGAAAAAGTGGCATTTTAAGGAGGAAACCTAACCCACCTGCAGGTCCATCAATAGACCCTGAGCCAGATTTGCACATTATTCTAGCATCTGACATCCAACATACAATTTGTACATGGTTCTAACCTCTATAGGTTAGTTTACAACCGTTCGTTTGTGCTCGCTTCGGCAGCACATATAGTAAAATTGGAACAGTTCATTTAGCGACTGTTCGAAGCGACAACAGCACTGGGAAAAAAGCCACTCGTGACCCTTTTTCACACTTACGACCGTTGCAGCCTCCTCCAAATTCAGATGCTTGGAAACTGGCACGGACTTACGACGGTTCGAGTGTCTTGAGGTCACACGATCCGCTTTTGCGACCTTCTGACGAGCAAAGTCGGTGCGGAAGCCACTTAACAACCGGGTTGCTATTTTAACAACTGCTATTTTAACAACAAGGTCGTAATTTGGGGCAAAGCTCACTTAGCGGCAGATATTTTGGGCTCAGTTGCGGTCGTACGTTGAGAACCAGCTGTATTCCAAACGGGCAGGCTTCGATTCTCCAGCTTCTCTGCGAAGGACAGGCTGGCTTGAGAATCCTTTAAAATATTTGGAGGGGATGAATTGGGACTATATACCTGGGCAGGTAACAGCTGCAGTTGCTCCTACAATGCAGAGGGCTGAAGGTCCCAGAAATGAGCAAGCAGAGGCATGCAGTTTAGTGATGCCAAATCCGCTTCGTGGGGAGGAGACCCCCAAGTTCAGTACCCAGGTAGAGCTGAGATAGCCTCCTGCCTGAAGCCCCCCTCCCCCAAATGTCTGCCTCTCGTCTGGGGTGACGTGGGACATAATCTTTGTCAGTAACTTCCTGCATCAAGCCCTAGAGGACACAAAAGAGTTGTTAGATGCCTCAAGCAATTTGCACCTAAGCAAGACTGTCCAGTTGTTGTGTTTTTTTCCCAACAGGAGCTGCTGCGATGCTTCCTTCCCTGAAAGAGACCCTAGAAGCTTTGACTCCTGTTAAGAGTCATATCCAAAGAGGATCTAAGCTGGGAATGTGGGATCCAGGACCAGCTGGGACACCTCTCCCTGTTCCTCCAGCTCTTCTGCAGGGCCACAAGGCTTCCTGTCCAGGGAAAGTTCTCCCAGGGATGCTTCTTCCTCCAGTTCCGAAAAAGCCATCTCATTCTTATCCTCGCCTACGTCACAAATGTTGTTTCAACACGCAGCTCAGCCAAGCAGAAGCACAGGGAGGGATAGAAGCCAAAGAGACAAACCCAGATGGGCATAATTTTTCTAGGAATCTGTTGGGTCCAGTTCCAGCCACTCTGCAAGTCTGCTTCTGTTCTTAGTACATAAAGCAAAAAAAGAGATAATCCCCTCTACGCTGTGGGTTTGGCTGACTGGACTTCCTCCAGGGAGATGGACGTTTCCGGAAATGATCCTGGAAAAAAAAAATGCATGGGAATTAAAAAACGTAGCCAGGTATGGTTAGCAGCTCACCAAATCACCTGTTTCCCTCCCTCCCCTATTATAAGTATCATAAGAACCAGTTTGGTCTAATAGCTAAGGCAGCAGACTAGTAACCCGGGGGTTCTGAGTTCTAGATTCGTCTTAAGCATGAAAGCTGACTGGGTGACTTTGGGCTAATCACCAGGAGACAGTGAGTTCTAGCCCCGCCTTATGCATGAAGCCTGGTTGGGCGATTATAGGCCAATGACAAGGAGATGGTGAGTTCTAGTCCCAACATGCATGAAACCTGGCTGGATGACTTTGGGCTAGTCACCAGGAGACAGTGAATTCTAGTCCCACCAGAGGCACTAAAGCCATCTGGGTGACTTTGGGCCAGTCACCAGCAGAAGGTGAGTTCTAGTTTCTCCTTAGACATGAAAGTTGACTGGGTGACTTTGGGCCAGTTTCTCAACCCACCTCACAGGGTTTTTGTTGTGGGGAAAATTTGGAGGACGGAGGAGTATTAAACATCTTCACTAACTCGAGTTACCGATAAAGTCATAAAGCCTGCGTAAAAATCTAACAAATACCCCATTTGAATTTGCGTCCTGTTAATTTCCATTTAAAGCAGGGATGCCCCGTTATTTTCCCCAGGGGAGTGGGCAAGGAACCCTAGTTTTCTAGAGGGGTGTTTGGAAGGAACCGAGCCAGGACCAAAACGGTGTTTAGTTTTCCATCCTTTACATAAAAAACGTAGCTAGTAGAATTGCTCTTCAGCTTTGTGTTAAACGAGATGCTCCTTTTGCTACTAAAGAAATTACAGTTCACTGACAAAGTTGAGAAGACTGTGGGAGCCGCGCCCTGAGTTTGTGGGTCCGTAGGTTGTGTTTCTGTAACTGTTAGCCTTACCAGGTGCACCACACTGAAAACATGACCACGTACGCGAATTGTACTTTATTGCAAAGCTATATTAACAGAATCTTGCATTTCTCCCACCTTTACACCTTGAGAAACTAGGGAGGGTCCTTTTTGAGCTTCTTGCCCCACCCGCTATCCATCTCTGGGCTAAGCTGTCTCTTATCTGATTGCTCCCTAGGCAGCATCTCCTTCACCCGTTTCCAAGGTCCCTCCCACAAACCACCAGGGTTAACAGAGAGAATGAGACAGAAGTATGGTCAAGGAAGTTAAACTGGCAGCCACAAAGATGCAACTGAAGCTCCACCTGGTTTTTACGTGCATCGCACATAAGATGAAGAAATGAAACCCATTCAGCTGAGACGGTGAGAGACTGAAACCTTTCCAAGGACACTGCAGCAGGTGTAGAGAAGAAACAGACGGTTCCCGTAACAAAGTGAAATTGCTTACATGGACTAGGTGAGAGGCTGGGGATCAGGCCGGAGAAATTATTGTTTAATTCTATCAACTGGTGTCTGGAAACCTCAGAGTTAGTTTTGCCTCGACATTACCATGCCATGTATTCAATAAACAGTAAGAGTTTCGGAAACGGAATGAACCCGGAGTGTTTATTTGGATTCTCGAGCTGGGTGTTGACACACAATTCCTGCCTGCGCCTGAGTCCCTCTATTCATCTTACTTTCAGTAGATCTGGTAGAACATCTGTTTCCTATCCCTTCCATTTGGTGTGATGTTGGTTCACTAGTGGCCTCCAAGTACAGGTCATCATCTTCTGAGTCCATAAGTTCAAGGATGTCACCTGCATCTCGATTCCTGCAATGCAGACAACAATAAAAACTATAAGGAAGAAATGAAGGGACCTCTTCTTCTCCTCCTTGCTTGAAGGACCACCTCTGTCAGGTGATATTCACTAAAGAGCACGTTGACCCAACTTGGCAGATAGGTCACATATTCCAGCTGGGAACCATGGGAGATATTATCAAGTATGGGGTCCTTGGTGCTCTCTGAGCTTGGTTGTTTTCTTGCAGACGTTTCATTACCCAATTAGGTCTAGCATTGTTGATGTTACCTGGCTGGGTAATGAAACGTCTGCAAGAAAACAACCAAGCTCAGAGCACCAAGGACCTCACAGACCTCCTTCTGCTCCTTCACCTCTTCCCTTTCTCTCCTCCTCTTCCTTCTCCTCCTCCTTTCTGCAAACCCCACATCTTCTAGGACTGATGATGTTACCTAGTTGGGTAATGAAATGTCTGCAAGAAAAAAACCAAGCTCAGAGAGCACCAAGGACCCCACAGTCCTTTTCCTTCTCCTCCTCCTTCCTTCAAACCCCACTCCTTCTAGGACTGATGATGTTACCTAGTTGGGTAATGAAATGTCTGCAAGAAAACAACCAAGCTCAGAAAGCACCAAGGATCCCACAGTTCAACCTTGAGCTATAAATATTATCTTGTATTGTTATCAAGTATACCTGCAGGTAATTATTGAACTACTATTGAGCATTCCGTGACATAGAATCTAAAATATTATACTTAAAAATACTTATAAGTGACATGCTTCTTTCTTGCCCAACCCGTTGAAATTGTTAGTTTTGTTCAATGGATGAGGCTTTATACAAATTCACGGGCTGTACCATTTTAAAGAGGTCGTACTACCACGAGGTTTGACAATCCCTTCTCCAAATGATGGTTTCTGTAGATGAAATGGGTCAAGACTTTTTAGTTAAAAAATAGAGACACTTACCGAAGCACGTTCGCTGGGAACATGAAAGAGAGAAGAGGAGAAAAATATTTTTTATTAAAAAGTTACTCATTTGCTTTCGAAGATTATACAGTAAGCATCTAATGCAATGTCAAAAATATATTCTGTCTGTCTGTCTGTCTGTCTGTCTGTCTGTCTATCTATCTATCTATCTATCTAGCTAGCTAGCTAGCTAGCTAGCTAGCTATCTATCTACACTATCTATCAAATGTATTGGCACCCATCTTAGCAACATACAGTATATCGCATTTAGAAACCTTTGGTTTTCTTTTATTTAATTATTGGAAGGATGTGCCAATATATCCATAAGATTTTCTTTTTCAACGTTCTTATAAGATTGCCTATAGCGCAATTTAAGAAATACACATTTTGAAACCCAAATGCATTCTGTTGGTTTGACTCCTCCAGTGAGCAATTCTCTACAGACCCTCTCTCACCTTTGAGGCACACCTGAGGTCCCGCATAGAGAAGGATTCCAGAAAAGACCAGAACTCCCAGCAATAAAAGGACTACAACGGAACCCACAATGCCAGCAATGTTCAGAGGCTCTGCAGAGAGAGTTGGAGAGAAAAAAAAGCATTGAGATGGGAAGAGAGAGAGAGAGAGAGAGAGAGAGAGAGAGATGGAAATGCCAAGAAGCAACTTCTCCTCCTCCTCCTCCTCCTCCTCCTCCTCCCTCCTCCTCCTCCCCTTCTTCTCTTTCTCCTTCCCTCTTCCCCCATTTCTTAAAATTTGCAAGATAGCCACCCTTCAAAAGTGAAACTCAAAAGGAATTCTCAAGCAGGAGGGAAGGAAGGAAGGAAGGAAGGAAAAAGGAAAGGAAAGGGGAGGGGAGGAGAGAAGAGAAGAGAAGAGAAGAGAAGAGAAGAGAAGAGAAGAGGAGAGGAGAGGAGAGGAGAGGAGAGGATAGGATAGGATTAAGGGCAGATTTTAATATAGCATGGAATGTACAGTACAAATTTAAACAAATTCCAGCTTTCTTAATTAATCAACTTGCTAAACCTAATCAATCAGTCTTGCTAAACCAACAATCCACTTGCCGGAATCAACCATTTCCCACCAGGTGGGGCCTTCCCATCATGGGTGGGAGGGAAGAGCTTTTTAGGCATCCGAGCAAGGAGGTCACAAATAGCTTTCGTTACCGGCAGCAAGTCAAAGCTTACGTTTTATAAAGACCTCTGGGTTCAATCGTGGTCGTAAAGTCAAGCACTTTCAGCCACTTTAAGAGCTGCACGGACCTCAACTCCCAGAACTCATGGCCGGCTGAGGGAACTCTGGGAGCGGAAGTCCTCCCACCCTCAGCCCAAGGGCCCCTATTTCAACCTCCCGACTTACCTGTCACCTTCAGGTGAACGTAGACCTCTCTCAGGCCCAGGGGGTTCTCGGCCTTGCAGATGTAGTACCCTTGGTCTCTGCTGGAGGAGCAGTTCTGGTTGACAAGGCTGGAGACACCCTCCTTTTGGCTGATGAGAAATCTGCCCCTTGACCGGATCTCTGTCTCCACCTTGGAGGAGTTGCGCAACCAGGTGATCCTTGCAGGTGGGTTGCCGGCGGTCAGTTCACAGGTCATCTCTACGGATCTCCCCGCGAAGCAGCTCTTCATTGGGTTGGACATGACCGAGGGCCGCTCTGGCACAAGAGGAAAGCCAAGTTGAGTTGGGAGGACAGGACATACATGTAGCAGAGCTTCAAACTTAACACCTTTGTGCGACCGACACATGAACTTGTGGTTTTGACTTCTTCCATTTCCTTTTGTTCTCCTTCTAACTAATATACGCATTTAAGACTCGTGTCCTGTTTTATAACCTATATCTTGTTTTGTGTCCTGCCTTATATATATATGTTTTATTGGGTGTTTATTTTTTTACATATCACCATCAATATTTGGTAAGCAGTGTGTTGTCTGGGTTTGTATTTACAAATAATCAATAGTTAGTTTCTAATAGTTCCCTATTCCACATGATAGCTTTCCTTGATTTTCTTCCAATAATATTCTTTTTTATCAACCTTAAATTAGTACATTCCTTGATAATTTTAGAAGATCACAATTAAATATCTACGAATAACCTCCACCTCGTTATTCAGATTCTTTTCTAATTAATCATCTTCTCGATCACCTTGTCGTAGATCCTGTTTTTAAAGTTCTCATTTAAATTTATTTTCCCCACAATATTCAAAAGAAAACATTTTTACCTGTTAAATCAGATGAAGGAAAGCTACCTGATATAAAACCTAAGCAAGTTGTGCTTCCTTTTTCTGGTTATCTGGCTATAACTTTTCATAGAATACAGTACGGATAATTGAGCAAACTTTGTTGCATTACATACTTGACTAAATTATCTTTCCATTGATATATAATTTTAGGGTACTACTCCCCCCCCAAAAAAGTGGTGTTATTAGCCATCAAACCTCAAAAATACACTTTTCCCAAAAGGTTTCCACAATTGTGGCTCCTACTGTACCTGCACAGACCATTATAGGGATGATGTTGAGGAATCTTTTAAAGAAGTATAGGGGGGGGACTCAAATGGGAGCTAAAAGAACAAGGCCAAAAAGAATAAACGAGGAAATTAAAATCAGCCATTCCTTACATCAGGAGCAAAGACATTAAGAGAACAGGCAGCTCTTTCCCATTTGGAGTCTTGGAATGCACCGCGAAATTGTGCAATTCCGGAATCTCGCCTTGACTCACCCAGTCGCAAGGTGCAGTTCTGGTTTCTCTTCTCATTCGCAATATGGTTTCCGCGACAGACAAAATCCTTGCCCCAAAGCCGGCGGGACCCTTGCAGAGACACCACCGTAGCATTTGCAAAGTGGGTGGTGTTGGAATCCATGGCTAGACCCTCCGGGTTGATCCACCGGAGCGTAGGGGGTGGGTAGCCCCCGGGCCAGCTGCACGACAGTTGAACCTCCTGAGAATTCTCCACGGAGGTCTCAGCTTGACACCTGGGCGATGACGGTGGGGGATCTGAAGAGAGAAGCTTGCAAAAGGACTGGGAAATAGCTCTGGGTCTGATTTATTTACATTTTTATTGCCCGTTTTTAAACATGGGAGACAAGTACTAAAAACGGGCGAGGGGGGGAATCTAGGATCGGCTCTGGCCGTGACAGAAACGTGGCTAGAGGATAAAGGATTGAGAGAAAGCAGAAACAGAATCTCCTGAAAAGCAATAAGGAAGGAACTTTTTAAGGGGGGGGGAGAAGATGAGGCGGGATTTGGACTTCGGCCCCTGTCAGCAAAGTTAACGGTTGGGGACGATAGACTTTGTAGTTTGGAACACCCGCTAGGACTTTTCCGCCAACTATTCCACTGGCCTGTGTGGAACCTCCAAGTAGATTAGGAGAAGATCCCACCTCCGTCCTGTTTGTGCATTGGTCCTTTTTATCTACAGAATAACAGAGCTGGAAGGGGCCTTGGAGGTCTTCTAGTCCAACCCCCTGCTCCAGCAGGAGACCCTATACTAGCATCCCTGACAAATGGTTGTTCAGTCTCTCCTTGAAAACCTCAAGTGATGGCACACCCACAACTTCTGGAGGCCAGCCTGTCTACTACTAAGCTTCCATCCGTTATCATTTAGTTCTCGTTTACTTTGAACGTTTTCATTCCTAATGTTGAAGGCTTTTCCTCTTTAAGGACACAATTCCTTAAGAGGAAGGCATAGAGGCCACAATTCTGTGCATTTCCAGAAGTGCAACATTTCCTGGGAAAAAATGACACCCACACACCCACACACCCTGCCCATATTTTTCGGCATACGTACAGTAGATCAGGAGTTCGCGGACGAGCGACTTCTGACGTTGGCTCAACAGGTTTGTGGCCAGACACGAGTAGTTCCCTTGATAGTTGGGCATGACATTGTGTAGCGCGAAAGAGCTGTGTGAGCTGTTGACTTCGGTGAATGGCTCCTGGGCAGAACCAGGTGGGTTAAAATCCCACTTAGTGGCGGAATCAGGCCAAGAATCACTACTGCAGGTGAAGTTCAAGATGTCATGCCTTTTGGCATAAAGCGTGCCGTTTGGCAACGTCCCGGTGGGAGAAATGGTGACCTCCATCTGGTCTGGTCCACCTGGAAAGCAAGCATGTCAAAATAAAACATGTTCCCTGCCAAACGGTTGTACCAGGTGGGCAGAGAGAATTGGAGAGACTGGTCCCCCAAGTAACCAGATATGCCATGGAGGGCTTTCAAGGGAACAACCGGCAACTTGAATTGCACCCAAAGGCCGGATGGCAGCCAACACAGTTTGTGCACAATCAATCAGAATAGAGCTGGAAGGGACCTTGGAGGTCTTCTAATCCAGCCCCCTGCTCAAGCAGCAGACCCTACGCCATTCGAGACAAATGGCTGTCCAGTCTTTTCTTAAAAACCTCCAGGGATGAAGCCCCCACGACGTCTGGTGGCAAGCTGTTCCACTGGTTCATTGTCCTCCCTGTTAGGGAGATTCTCCTTAAGTCCAGGTTGCTTCTCTCCTTGATTAGTGTGTCACAGTAATGACAGCAGGCAGAGCTACCAGGAGCAGGTGGCCGTGGCCAACAAGGATCTGAGCCAAGGACAACTCCTGGCAATGCGGGACCCCCGTGGGAATTAAGGTGGTTGCAGACGTTTTCCGACGCACCTGTTAAAACCTCCTGCCCTGTTTTCTTATTTGAATTTAAAGACGAAAACCTGGCAGGTCACAAAGCAANTGCCTCCCATTCCTAACTCACCGAGTCGCCGCAGCATGATACCGTGGTCCACAGTATCAAAAGCCGCTGAGAGGTCCAAAAGAACAAGGACAGAGGAATAACCCCTGTCCCGGGCCCTCCAGAGATCATTGACCAACGTGACCAATGCCGTTTCCGTGCTGTGTCCCGGCCTGAAGCCCGACTGGTATGGGTCTAGATTTTAATATAGCATGGAATGTACAGTACAAATTTAAACAAATTCCAGCTTTCTTAATTAATCAACTTGCTAAACCTAATCAATCAGTCTTGCTAAACCAACAATCCACTTGCCGGAATCAACCATTTCCCACCAGGTGGGGCCTTCCCATCATGGGTGGGAGGGAAGAGCTTTTTAGGCATCCGAGCAAGGAGGTCACAAATAGCTTTCGTTACTGGCAGCAAGTCAAAGCTTATGTTTTATAAAGACCTCTGGGTTCAATCGTGGTCGTAAAGTCAAGCGCTTTCAGCCACTTTAAGAGCTGCACGGACCTCAACTCCCAGAACTCATGGCCGGCTGAGGGAACTCTGGGAGCGGAAGTCCTCCCACCCTCAGCCCAAGGGCCCCTATTTCAACCTCCCGACTTACCTGTCACCTTCAGGTGAACGTAGACCTCTCTCAGGCCCAGGGGGTTCTCGGCCTTGCAGATGTAGTACCCTTGGTCTCTGCTGGAGGAGCAGTTCTGGTTGACAAGGCTGGAGACACCCTCCTTTTGGCTGATGAGAAATCTGCCCCTTGACCGGATCTCTGTCTCCACCTTGGAGGAGTTGCGCAACCAGGTGATCCTCGCAGGTGGGTTGCCGGCGGTCAGTTCACAGGTCATCTCTACGGATCTCCCCGTGAAGCAGCTCTTCATTGGGATGGACATGACCGAGGGCCGCTCTGGCACAAGAGGAAAGCCAAGTTGAGTTGGGAGGACAGGACATACATGTAGCAGAGCTTCAAACTTAACACCTTTGTGCGACCGACACATGAACTTGTGGTTTTGACTTCTTCCATTTCCTTTTGTTCTCCTTCTAACTAATACACGCATTTAAGACTCATCTCCCATTTTATAACCTATGTCTTGTTTTGTGTCCTGCCTTATGTCCTGCCTTATATATATATGTTTTATTGGGTGGGTTTTTTTTACATATCACCATCAATATTTGGTAAGCAGTGTGTTGTCTGGGTTTGTATTTACAAATAATCAATAGTTAGTTTCTAATAGTTCCCTATTCCACATGATAGCTTTCCTTGATTTTCTTCCAATAATATTCTTTTTTATCAACCTTAAATTAGTACATTCCTTGATAATTTTAGAAGATCACAATTAAATATCTACGAATAACCTCCACCTCGTTATTCAGCTTCTTTTCTCATTAATCATCTTCTCGATCACCTTGTCGTAGATCCTGTTTTTAAAGTTCTCATTTAAATTTATTTTCCCCACAATATTCAAAAGAAAACATTTTTACCTGTTAAATCAGATGAAGGAAAGCTACCTGATATAAAACCTAAGCAAGTTGTGCTTCCTTTTTCTGGTTATCTGGCTATAACTTTTCATAGAATACAGTACGGATAATTGAGCAAACTTTGTTGCATTACATACTTGACTAAATTATCTTTCCATTGATATATAATTTTAGGGTACTACTCCCCCCCCAAAAAAGTGGTGTTATTAGCCATCAAACCTCAAAAATACACTTTTCCCAAAAGGTTTCCACAATTGTGGCCACTACTGTACCTGCACAGACCATTATAGGGATGATGTTGAGGAACTTTTTAGAGAAGTATAGGGGGGGGGGACTCAAATGGGAGCTAAAAGAACAAGGCCAAAAAGAATAAATGAGGAAATTAAAATCAGCCATTCCTTACATCAGGAGCAAAGACATTAAGAGAACAGGCAGCTCTTTCCCATTTGGAGTCTTGGAATGCACCGCGAAATTGTGCAGTTCCGGAATCTCGCCTTGACTCACCCAGTCGCAAGGTGCAGTTCTGGTTTCTCTTCTCATTCGCAATATGGTTTCCGCGACAGACAAAATCCTTGCCCCAAAGCCGGCGGGACCCTTGCAGAGACACCACCGTAGCATTTGCAAAGTGGGTGGTGTTGGAATCCATGGCTAGACCCTCCGGGTTGATCCACTGGAGCGTAGGGGGTGGGTAGCCCCCGGGCCAGCTGCACGACAGTTGAACCTCCTGAGAATTCTCCACGGAGGTCTCAGCTTGACACCTGGGCGATGACGGTGGGGGATCTGAAGAGAGAAGCTTGCAAAAGGACTGGGAAATAGCTCTGGGTCTGATTTATTTACATTTTTATTGCCCGTTTTTAAACATGGGAGACAAGTACTAAAAACGGGCGAGGGGGGGAATCTAGGATCAGCTCTGGCCGTGACAGAAACATGGCTAGAGGATAAAGGATTGAGAGAAAGCAGAAACACAATCTCCTGAAAAGCAATAAGGAAGGAACTTTTTAAGGGGGGGGGGAGAAGATGAGGCGGGATTTGGATTTCGGCCCCTGTCAGCAAAGTTAACGGTTGGGGACGATAGACTTTGTAGTTTGGAACACCCGCTAGGACTTTTCCGCCAACTATTCCATTGGCCTGTGTGGAACCTCCAAGTAGATTAGGAGAAGATCCCACCTCCGTCCTGATTGTGCATTGGTCCTTTTTATCTACAGGATAACAGAGCTGGAAGGGGCCTTGGAGGTCTTCTAGTCCAACCCCTTGCTCAAGCAGGAGACCCTATACTAGCATCCCCAACAAATGGTCTCTCCTTGAAAACCTAGGGTGATGGCGCACCCACAACTTCTGGAGGCCAGCCTATCTACTACTAAGCTTCCATCCGTTATCATTTAGTTCTCGTTTACTCTGAATGTTTTCATTCCTAATGTTGAAGGCTTTTCCTCTTCAAGGACACAATTTCTTAAGAGGAAGGCATAGGGGCCACAATTCTGTGCAATTCCAGAAGTGCAACATTCCCTGGGGAAAAATGACACCCACACACACACAAACCCTGCCCATATTTTTCGGCATACGTACAGTAGATCAGGAGTTCGCGGACGACCGACTTCTGACGTTGGCTCAACAGGTTTGTGGCCAGACACGAGTAGTTCCCTTGATAGTTGGGCATGACGTTGTGTAGCGCGAAAGAGCTGTGTGAGCTGTTGACTTCGGTGAATGGCTCCTGGGCAGAACCAGGTGGGTTAAAATCCCACTTAGTGGCGGAATCAGGCCAAGAATCACTACTGCAGGTGAAGTTCAAGATGTCATGCCTTTTGGCATAAAGCGTGCCGTTTGGCAACGTCCCGGTGGGAGAAATGTTGACCTCCATCTGGTCTGGTCCACCTGGAAAGCAAGCATGTCAAAATAAAAGATGTTCCCTGCCAAACGGTTGTACCAGGTGGGCAGAGAGAATTGGAGAGACTGGTCCCCCAGGTAACCAGATATGCCATGGAGGGCTTTCAAGGTAACAACCGGCAACTTGAATTGCACCCAAAGGCCGGATGGCAGCCAACACAGTTTGTGCACAATCAATCAGAATAGAGCTGGAAGGGACCTTGGAGGTCTTCTAGTCCAGCCCCCTGCTCAAGCAGGAGACCCTATGCCATTCGAGACAAATGGCTGTCCAGTCTTTTCTTAAAAACCTCCAGGGATGAAGCCCCCACGACTTCTGGTGGCAAGCTGTTCCACTGGTTCATTGTCCTCCCTGTTAGGGAGATTCTCCTTAAGTCCAGGTTGCTTCTCTCCTTGATTAGTGTGTCGCAGTAATGACAGCAGGCAGAGCTACCAGGAGCAGGTGGCCGTGGCCAACAAGGATCTGAGCCAAGGACAACTCCTGGCAATGCGGGACCCCCGTGGGAATTAAGGTGGTTGCAGACGTTTTCCGACGCACCTGTTAAAACCTCCTGCCCTGTTTTCTTATTTGAATTTAAAGACGAAAACCTGGCAGGTCACAAAGCAAAATCCCACCTGGGTCAGCCCCTTCTTTCTTTACAAGGAAGCCCCGGAGATGCCCTCGTCCTGTTTAGAACATATAAATAGTGTCTGGATGTTGCTTGGCTCCAACCGTTTGCTTTCTTCGGTTTTTCTTTTTTTAAAAAAAGTTTTGTTTTGTTTATATTCCATTACTCTAGCTTTTGTTTGTTTACGGGTTTATTTATTTATATTCTGCCTTTACTATTGTTTACAAATTGCTCATTCGACACGCCTTCCTCCTCCTGTTTGCCCCACAACAACAAGCTTGTGAGGTGGGCTGGGCTGAAGAAAAGGGACTAACTAACCCAAAGTCACCTAGCTGGCTTTCCTGCCTAAGGCGGAACTAGAACTCACAGTCTCCTGGTGATTGGCCCAAAGTCACCCAACTGGCTCTTATGCCTAAACTGGGACTAGAACTCACAGTCTCCTGGTGATTAGCCCAAAGTCCCCCTGCCAGCTTTCCTGACTAAGGTGGGACTAGAACTCACAGTCTCCTAGTAATTGGCCCCAAAGCCACACAGCTGATTTTCATGCCTAAGGCAGGACTTGAACTCACAGTCTTCTACTTTCTAGCCTGGTGTCTTAGACCCATAGAGCAAACTGGCTCTCAATTAAAATCAATTAAAAATCATTTAATTGTCAAACTGTGTTGACACTGATTCAACACCATGGCTAGGATACAGTCTCGGAAAAAAAACACGAAGATCTGTTGGAGAAACATTGGGATGGAAATCAAAGCCTATCTTTCTGATGCTGGAAAAAGGTAATTTCATATACATTGAGGTATTCCTCAATTTACCATCACAATGGAAACCAGCATTTCCTTTGCTAAGCAAGGACCTTGTTAAGCCAATAATGGCTGATTTTATGACCTTATTTGTGCTGTGATTGTTAAGCAAATCAATGCAGTTAACTGGACCTGGCAGCTGATGATTGATTGAGCAATGGAAGTGATTTGCTTAATAAACATAAAAGTGAGTGTGGCTCACTTAATTTCTTTAACAAGGGAAATTCTTGTCCCAGTTGCAATCATTTGTCAAGGACTACTGTATTGTGCACCTATAAATCTTCCCCGGTTCGTAGATGCAGTTGTGCACCAGTTAAAATGGGTGCGGCTCTCGCCTTCCACAAGCAAAGAGCAGAACTACCAGCCAGCCACACCTTGAAAACAAATAAGAAGTTGAGATAGGGGGTTGTAATCTGGTAACTATAGCAAGATTATTGTACGCACGACACTGGAGAGAATGCGGAAATCTTGTGGAAGGGATTGTGTAAGTGTCAGGATTTGCAGAAATGGCAAAATTGGTTTGTTTGGTCCAAGGAGAAAAACAGTAGAGGTCATAGAATAACAAGAGTTGGAAGGGAACTTGGAGGTCTTCTAGTCCAGCCCTCTGCTCAAGCAGGAGACCCTATACCATTTCAGACAAATGGCTATCCAGTCTTTTCTTGAAAACCTCCAGTGATGAAGCACCCACAAAGCAAGTCGCTCCACTGATTAATTGTTCTCATTGTCAAGAAATTTCTCCTTAGTTTTAGAGTTGAATCTCTCTCTCTCTCCCTCTCTCTCTCTCTTATAATTTATTGTTTTATCATAGAGAATAAAATACAGAACAGTAAAACAAACCAACAAAATGAAACAAAACAAAAACATACATTCAACCCTAACAACAACAAAAGAAAAGAGAGAGAGAAGAAGAGAGGGAGGGACAGAGAGGAAGAGAGAGGCAGAGAAAGAAAGAAAATAGTGTACAAAAAAAGCAAGAAAAAGTGTTCAATTAAATTTAACATTTAACATATAGGATCCACTCTGGCTGAATGCTGAAATACAAATATATATATGAAATGTTTAGCTTAACCTGTTGACTGCTTTTTCTTCTTTTTTCTTTCATATGTGTGTGTGTGTGTGTGTGTACACATATATATAACTTTTATATAAAAGAAGAAAAAGCAGTCAACATTACATATATATTTGTATTTTGTATTTTGCATTTCTGGATGGATGGATGGATAGGTAGGTAGGTAGGTAGGTAGGTAGGTAGGTAGGTAGGTAGGTAGATAGATAGATAGATAGATAGATAGATAGATAGATAGATAGATAGATAGATAGATAGATAGATAGATAGATAGATAGATAAAAAGAAGAAAAAGCAGCCAACAGGTTAAACTAAACACTACACTAATCTTCAAATCCCTCTGTTTAGGTTGAATCTCTCTTTGATAAGCTTCCATCTGTTACTTCCTGTCCTGTCCTCAGGTGATTTGGAGAACAGGTTGACCTTCTCTTTTTTGTGACAGCTGCTCAAGTATTGGAAGACTGCTATCATGTCACCCTAGTCCTTCTTTTCATTAAACTGCACGTACAAAATCTTTTTTTCCCCCCCAAAGCATTCACGTGAATTTCCATGGCAATCTTTACTGGACGATCAGGCTAACATTTTCACTCGTTTGCTTAAGGCAGGACTAGAACTCACAGTCTCCTGGATCCTAGGCCAGCACCTTAACTGCAATAAAACTAGTGCTGACCTCTATGGCAGGACTGAGTTTTTGTTTTGGTCTGACCTCCCTTGTTGGGCTGGCAACTGTTGACTTAATGCAACATCTATACCCACGTGCATTGTCTAATATACCATCCTGTTCTATCTGCCGAGCATCCACGCCATTTTCTAAAGCAAGGGTGAAAACTTACCGGCCATCAGTAACTGGATCCTGTGTGTATGGTTGGTCTCAGCCAGTATCTCCCTGCACAAGTAGTGACCTTCGTCCTCTCGACGCAATCCTGAAATGTGCAAGGAGCTGTTTCCCACCAGGGAAAAGCGACTATCTGAAGGCAGTTTTCCATCCGAGGAGAAGAGCATGGGGATTGCACCGGGCTCACCGTGAAACCACTGCACCACCAACACCTGGGAAGACGCATTCCAGCATCGCAAGGTCACTTCCCCGTCCAGTTCGCCAACTGCCACTTCTTCAGTTTCTGGGGGAGAATAAAGTTTATTTCTCGAAAATGTTCTCCTTTCTAAGAGCTGAAGCCCACCTGCCTTAAAGTTGCCCAGGTTGAGAAAGACTGAGTTAAGAGCTTCCATCCATCTACCCTTTGCACGGAGAGACAGTTTGGTCTAGTGGTTAAGGCAGCAGGCTAGAAGCCAAGGAGCCTGCGAGTTCTAGTCTCACCTTAAGCACGAAAGCCAGCTGGCTCACTTTGGGCCAATCACTAGGAGATGGTGAGTTCTAGTTCCGCCTTAGGCATGAAAGTCAATAGGGCGGCTTTGGCCCAGTCACCAGGAGACTGTGAGTGCTAGTTCCACCTTAGGCATGAAAACCAGCAGGGTGACTTTTGGGCCAATCAGTAGGAGATGGTGAGTTCTAGTCCTGCCTTAGGCATGAAAATCAGCTGTGTGGTTTTGGGCCAATTACTAGGAGACTGTGAGTTCTAGTCCCACCTTAGTCAGGAAAGCTGTCTGGGTGGCTTTGGGCCAATCACTAGGAGACTGGGAGTTCTTAGCCATGAAAGCCAGCTGGGGGACCTTGGGCTTCTCCCACCCTCTCAGCCCAACCCACCTCACAGGGTTGTCGTTGCGAGGAAAACAGTAGGAGGAAGGTGTGATGGATACGTTCACCGTCTTTGAGTTGTTTGTAAAAATAATAAAAGGTGGGATATAAACACCAAATACATTGGGCATATCACCCTATGTCACGGTTTAACCACACTTGAGTAAATCAAGCACGGTACGCTAGGTTTTAGCAAACTGCACTGAAATCACATCAACTCTTGGAAGCTGATATGAGACAAGGGAAGAGCATTGTAGTTGCACTCTCCGTAAAAGCAAAGCTGGGTCTTCTCTCCTTGCCAAGCAGAATGCAAACTCATCCTGCTCTATTATTAACTCTCTGTCCAACAGTATCACTCCTTGCTCAGAACTCTGCATGCAAAAGCAGGGTTTTACATTTTTGATTCGGTCAGTCTGTTTAGCCTTGTTGAATGGGTCAGATTGAAAAGCCCTGAAAATCCGCCTATAAATTCATCACAACCCACTAAAGGCTTGGAGTTAACCAGGAAGAACCTGGATTGAATTTTGTCTATCTCACAAATTAATTCTAGTTTACTTTGTAATTCTACCTGTCTCCTATTCATAGTTCTTTCTTTCTTTTTCTTTCTTTCTTTCTTTCTTTCTTTCTTTCTTTCTTTCTTTCTTTCTTTCTTTCTTTCTTTCTTTCTTTCTTTCTTTCTTTCTTTCTTTCCTTTTCCTTGCTCACATTCCTTCTCTCTCTCTCTCTCTCTCTCTCTCTCTCTCTCTCTCTCTCTCTCTCTCTCTCCTTTTCCTTTCTCATAAAAGTGCTTTGCTTCTTCTCCCCCTTCCTAACCGAAACAGGGGCAAACTTGTCAATTGCCCCTCCCTCACCCCAGCCCACAACCCAACAGTCAGAAAAGCGATTAAAATCACCCTAGAAAAATTCTGCATCCTACCTCCCCCACTTTAGACTTCGGGGAAATCAAAGAGCAGGCAGTTGTGACCGGAAGCTCTTTTGGGACAAAAACAAGTATGCATTATTCCTGAAAAAAATTGGAGTTGGGGCGGGGGGGGGAGAGGGGGGCTGGGAGGGAAGGAGACAAATGACGTCGCAACCTCTAAATCCCGACCTGTCTAAAAAACTTGGCGGAACAAAGATCCCTTTACGCAAAGCTTTCCCCATCGTTGCCAACAAACGCCGCGCGTTCAGTCGGATTTTACGCGCGGGCAGACGAAGGCGAAAAGGGCGGTTGGGGGGGGTTGTTGTTCGGGAGGGGGGGGGGACGGCGGTCCCGTCCCGCAGAAAGTTCGGAAAGCGAAGGAGGCGACAGGGGAAGGGTTACACACATCCTTGTTTGGGAAGAAAAGCCCCAAATCAAGGCAACATCCTCCTTCTTCCTGGAGAGACTTAAGATGCTTTAGCGGGAGGGTCCCTTTCTAGTCTAGTAGTCCCTCCCGGGGGGAGGGGGAAATCTCCTCGTGGTCTCCTCTCCAAGTGGAACCCCGGCTCTTCCCGGCTCAGCTGTCATCTCTCCAACCTTGGGGCTGTGCCACCTGCCCTGCGCTGCCCATCGCGCCGGCCAAGGGGGGTACCTGCAGCGCCGCCGCGCCCGGAAAGCGCCAGGACGAAGAGAAGGCTCGCAGCCGCCCGGCTCGCCATGGCAGCTCGGACTGGGGGGGAGCCGGCGCAGCTCCGCGGATTTACGGCCGGGAGGGCGGGCAGCGTTGACAAGAGAGGCGGGGAAACTTCCCCGCGGGAGGCGGAGCGGCTGCGGCCGACGCGCTTCGCTCCGGCTTGGTTTACCTGGCGCCGGCCGGTGACTGGGGACCTTCCCAGCCATCCAACGCAACGTTAAGTCATTGAGACCTCGGTTAAAGTGCGTTTTGCTCCACTTTTCTTTGCCAGGGCGGTTTAAGCGAATTACTGCCCTCGTTAAGTTAGTAACGCGGTCGTTAAGCGAATCTGGCTTCCCCATGGCCAGAAAGTCGCCAAAAGTTGATCGGATGACCCCGGGACTCTGCGACCGTCGTAAATATGAACCAGTTGCCAAGCGTCTGGATATTGATGGAGGGGATGCAGCGGTGGTCCTAAGTCCCTTTTTTTCAGGGCCGTTTTAACTGTGAGCGGTCGCTAAATGAACCGTCGCGAGTCGAGGACTACCTGGACAGCTGGATCGAGGATCCAGCCGTGACACTTACAGAATGACAGAGTTGGAAGGGTCCTCGGAGGCCTTCTAGTCCAACCCTCTGCTCAGGTAGGAGACCTTACACCGTTCTGGACAAATGACTGGACCGATCTCTTCTTGACAATCTCCAGTGATGGAGCCATCCACAACTTCTGGAAATGATTACTCGTCTCACTGACAGGAAATTTCTCCTTAATTCTAGGTTGGGTCTCTCTCTCTGACATTGATGCCATTTTAATCTGGCTGGGAAGATGGTGACCGGTTCAAATCCCTGATCTGCTTAGGAACCTCACTTTGGGGGCTGGGGTGGAAGGCAGGAAGTGAATTTGTTAACACCTGTAAACTGAAGAAGGTTACCTAGTTTGGTAGTGAAACGTCTTATAGAAAATAACCAAACTCAGAGAACATCAGGAACCCCACAATCCCTCTCCTCCCCCCTTTTTCCTCCTCCCCTCTCCTCTTCTCTTTCTCCTCCCCTTTTCCTCCTCCACCTCTTCCTCTTCTTCCTCTCTTCCTCCTCCATTCCACACACCCAAGCACTGACAATGTTACCTAGTTGGGCAATAAAACGTCTGCAAGAAAACGACCACGCTCAGAGAGCACCAAGGACCCTATAAAACACAACCTCCTAAGATTTATTAGCATCGTCTGTAAAAAAGGGTTTTGTTTAAGGAACTCAATGAGATTTCGGACATTTATTTGAAAGAAGGCCCTTGGAGAAGCTAAATGAAACTATAAAATCCCAAAATGTGCAGAGACATTTAGAAAAAAATAGTTCATCTTTTTGTTTCTTTTAACTATCACTATGAAGATTTCCGAGATGAATTATCATCATGGGATGGTCAAATGCAAAACTTGGCAATGCCCGTATGCTTTGAATCGCTCTGTAAAAACAGCTTCTCAACTTTAGCAACTTTAAACTGGGTGCGTTTCAACTGCCAGAATGCCCCAGCCGGCATTCCGGGACTTCAACTCCCAGAGTTCCTTTCTTCCGACAGGGCCGAGCCTCTGTTCCCCGCCTCCGCCAATGGGAGCAAGAAGGAGGGGTCCCGCTGCCCTGGGATTGGAGGAGGAACCTGCCACTCCGCAGCCCCCGCATTAAGGCTGGATGAGGCTCGCGCGCTACGTTTGCTGGCTGCAGCGAGCAGGGAAGAGGAGCTTTGGTGCAACCATGCCGGTAGATTTGAGCGACTGGGGAGGCTCCTTAAGCCTCCCCGAGGTGGAAGAGAAGCCGGTGCATCCTCTGCGGGTCCGCTACGGGTCGGTGGAAATCGAGGATCTCGGCCAAGTGCTTACACCGACCCAGGTAAAAAGGCCGCCGGGCGCGGGTTGCAAAGTTGCGTCGCTTTTTTGCTCTTGCAAAAAAAGAAAAAGAAAAAAGGGACGCCTCTTTCTCGTCCTTTGGCGGGAGGGAGCTCGGGCCCCTACACCCCCCCCCCTTCCTCCCTCCACTCCCTCGGATTTCCACGCGCGTTTTCTCCAGCTGCAACGGGGCTTGCGCGGCGCTTCCAAATCCAGTCCGCAAAAGCCTTTACGGAGCGCCCGCGTGCAGCTGTTAAAAGTGGGGGCTCCATAAAGGTGCTCGGAAACGCCCCGTTTTTGCAAAGATTCAATGAAAAGACCAATTCAGGGGGGGTTTCCTGTACCCCCCCCCCGAGCTATCTGCAACCCCGCCGTATAGGATCCCGCAGTCTCCTTTTGCTGCAGATCGCCAACAAGCCACAATTGCAAGTCCCGTTTGGATACCCCTCGCCCCCTCTCGAGACTCGGCCATTTGCAAGGGGGGGGGAGGAAATCCTTCCCCACCCCCACCCCCAAGAAAAAAAAAAAAAGCATGCATCTGAACGTGCATTATGGGTCTCCTGCTTGGCAGGAACCTTGGCAGGCCAGAGAATCCTGGGTGGCCTTTTGGAGAAGAAGAAAGAAAAAAAAAAAGACGCGCAACTGTATTAATTGCACATTTTCGGCCTGGCCTTAAAATAGAAGAGAGAAGAGCAAGCTGGAAAGATTAAAAAAAAAAAGAAACACCAAACCTAAAAATATAAAGGCACCCATTGCCAAGATGGCTTCTTCCCAGCGGCTCCGTTTTCCCTCCGTTGCAAAGGCCGGTGCAGGCCCCGGAGCACGTGCTGCAAAATCGAGACGGAACCTTGACCTAAATTGGACGCGATCCCGGTGAATGTTAGTTAGTGCATGCAATGCAAAAAAATCCATTTGCCTCGACAGGGAACCGTTTTAGCCTTGGGGGTGAGGCGGAGCTGGGTGAGAGGGACGCCACGGTTTCCACTTCTAACCGAAACGGCGCTTTAATTTTCATTAAACCAGCTTCCCCATTTGCAGATGTCCAGCTTTCCGTGTGGTTTTTTTTTTGTCAAATCGACTGCCTTTTAATATAACAATTATTATTTATCCAGATGCATGTCAGCTGATTTATGACACTGACACGTGCAAAGGAGGGTGGCTTAAAAGCTCATAATAATCTTAACGCCATCCCGGCTGAACACAGCCCATCCCCTTCACGAAATTAGGTCTCTAATCCGGGGGGGGGGGTTACTATTCAAACTAAATCTGTTGGGGAATTGTGGCGTCCTTGGTGCTCTCTGAGCTTGGTGGTTTTCCTGCCGATGGTTCATTACCCAACTAGGTCACATCAGTGATGATGATGTTACCTAGTTGGGTAATGAAATGTCTGCAAGAAAACCACCAAGCTCAGAGAGCACCATGGACCCCCACAGTTCAACCCTGAGTTACAGATATTCTCTTCTATCAATTGGGGAATTCTGGGAGCAGAAGTCCAGATATCTTAAAAGTGGCTGAGATTGAGAGAAACTGCTGTAAGCCTCAGTTCCCGCCTTCTGGAACAGGAATTTTTTGTTTGTTTGTTTGTTTGTTTTATCGTTTGCTGTCTGCCAAGAGAGAAAAATTGGCAACTCTTGCTATACAGCTGCCTTAGTCAATGTACATTTCTTCTGGCCCATCTTTCTTTTGTTTTAACGAGGAGCCCAAAAAAAAAAATATTATTCCGTTTATTTGGGCAGGTCAAGAATCGGCCAACCCTGATCGAGTGGGATAATTGCAGCCCGGATAAATTCTACACTTTGGTTCTTACGGATCCTGATGCTCCCAGCAGGAAAACTCCCAAATTCAGGTGAGTTGAGTTTTGGGGGTGCTTGGAAAGTGCACGGAGGCCCCCCCCTGAAGAGGAACACTTCTTAGCGTGTTGCAAGGTGGGATTTGCAGACACGGGGACTCAATTCTCTTCTTTTTTTTTTTTTAGGGAGTGGCACCACTTTTTGGTGACCAACATGAAAGGCAACGACATCAGCAGTGGGAATGTTTTGTCAGACTATGTTGGATCTGGACCCCCGAAAGGAACAGGTAAGTGGCTAACGGTTCCCTTTCAATATGCATTATCTTTCAGAAAGTGGCCACTGAACAGGTAGACCTCACCTTAGAACTGCATGGATGGATCGATGATAGATGATCCATCTTCCCATCCTTCCATCCTATCATCCCTCCATCATCTTATCCTTCCTCCCATCCATCCACCCACCCATCCTCTCATTCATTCTTCCATTCCTCCCATCCTTCTATCCATCCATCTTCTCACATCATCCCTCCATCATCTTATCCTTCCTTCCATCCTCTCATCCATCCCATTCCTCCTATCCACTCACCCATCCATCCTCTTATCCATTTTCCCATTCCTTCCTCCCTCCTAGCTCCTACCCTCCTCCCGTCCATCCATCCATCCTCTCACCCATCCCTCCATCCTATCATCCCTCTATCATCTTATCCTTCCTCCCATCCATCCATCCTCTCATTGATTCTTCCATTCCCATCCTTCATCCATCTTCCCATCCCTCCATCATCTTATCTTTCCTCTCATCCTCTCATCCATCCTATTCCTCCTATCCACTCACCCATCCATCCTCTTATCCATTCTCCCATTCCTCCCTCCCTCCTCCTATCTCTCCTTCCATCCTCCCATCTATCCATCCTCCCATCCATCCATCCATCCATCCATCCTCTCACCCATCCCTCCATTCATCCAATCCATCCTCAAAATCTTGTATGCTATTTGACTCCCAACCGCTCTGAAGAGGTGGGCAGGGCTGAATTGAACCCTCATTAAAGGGGTTTCTGCTTCCCCCCCCCCTCCCTCCTATCCCATTTTCAGGCCTTCACCGCTACGTGTGGCTGGTCTACGAACAGTCCCGGCACCTGACTTGCAACGAGCCCATCCTGAGCAACCGCTCGGGGGACAAACGGGGCAATTTCAAGATATCGGCTTTCCGCAAGAAATACAAGCTGGGGTCCCCCGTCGCGGGCACCTGCTACCAAGCCGAGTGGGATGACTACGTGCCCAAACTGTACGAGCAGCTCTCTGGGAAATGAAACGGCCTTCGTGTTGTGCCCTCGTTCCTCTTTCTTGGAAATTCTCCCCTTAGGATAAATGGCCTGGTTTACTCTGGATGCGTTGCTGAAAATGACTCCCATTGACTCGCTAACATGAATTAATCTATGTTAATTCATTGTGGACCCTTTAATCGGCAGCCTTTATTGTTTAAAAAAAAACCCTGCAACTGAATTGTATGTTGCATTGCTGCTTTTGAGAAGCTTCCATCCTGAGAATAGAAAACACTCATTTTCTATTACTTAGCTCAGGGGTCTTCAAACTTGGCAACTTTAAGACTGGTGGACTTCAACTCCCAGAGTTCCTCAGCCAGCCCTGGCTGGCTAAGGAATTCTGGGAGTTCAAGTCCATAAGACTTAAAGTTGCCAGGTGTGAAGACCCCTGACTTAGCTGGTTGTGAAGGTTGTGCCTTGCCTAAAAAAAGGGCACAAGTGCCAACAATTTTGTGAAGAACACCACAACCTGCACTCGTATAGACTCAGTGGAATGATAACTGCAGTATTTCTAGCCAGCAATGGGATTATTGACTCCCCCAATACATCTGGAAGGTGCCAGGTAGGTGGAAAATATCATAAAATCGGAAGATAAGCATCTCTTACCGTAATTCAAGGCAGAGTTGGTTCACTGTGGTTTGCAACCGAAGCATCCCGTAATTCCTGCTTGCGGTGATTTTCCACTAAAGAGGAACTGGGCCATGGATCCACAATTTCACCCAGTTTGTTTAGATTTCGATTATCTCAATGAACTCTGCTCCTAACTGGGTATCAGAGTTCTCATGTCTGTTTTGGAAGGCCAGGATTGTTCAAGTTGGATTTCTCTCGTTTTACCGATAACATTTCTGGATGTAATTCTTTTTTTCCCTCCTCTAACTTGCTGTTAAATAGCAAGCCTTGGATGTTTTCCCATGTTCATTTATATTGTCCCTTGAGAAGCTTGTGTCTTTATGGATTTGCTTTGCTCTTGTTGAGAACTTTTCAATTAAAAAGGAGGGTTGTCTTCATTTTTTTTTTATGCTGCTCCTTCATAGATACCTAGGCTGGATTAAACAGAACAGTTCCATCGCAAAGTTTGGCTCATTAACTTTAGTTAGGCTTTTAATCATTCCCGTAAACCCAGTTCTTTTAGTTAGCTTATTGTATGATTGGTTAGTTTAGTAATCAAGTTAACTTGGTTACGAGATGGGAGAGGTCTATTCCAATCTCTGGTCTTTCCGAAAGGGATCCTCAACTGGTTTTATTGTTGATATTGTTTCAATTATTGGTTGGGAAACCCCCAGCATTCAATATAAATGCTCTAAATAAAATAAACAGGTGTTTGTCCAAGAGACTGGACAGCCATTTGTCCGACATGGTATAGGGTTGGACTTGATGACCTCCAAGGTCCCTTCCAACTTTATTATTATTATTATTATTGCTGAAAACCTTCCCTGAAGAAGACTAGAACATAATTTCAATTGATTGACTTTTGAAGAAAAATATTGTCCATCATTTCTCAGCCTGGACAGTAGAAAACAACAGCCCTCCCCTTTTTTTTTTTTACAAATCTACACAGGACTTTTATTTCTCCTTGCCCGCCCGCCCCCCCAAATCTTTGCTGACCCCTCTGAGCAAAAAGTGGGTATTTAAGGCCTTTACTTGTCCAAGTGAACTGACTTAATAGCTGTATTGGAGTTCTGACTTAGGTGGACTTCAACTCCCAGAATCCCCCAGCCGGCATGACTGAGGTACAGAATTTCAGAATTAGAACAGATTTGAGAAACTGATTTAGGGGGTTTAAATTTTATATAAATATATATAATGTTAAATATAAATATATAAAATGCATATAAATTATATCGATATAATTTGTGGGTTAGAAA